ATTTGAAACCGAAACAAATAAGATTCATTCACAATTACAATAAATCAATTTAACTAAAGAAAATTATGTGAAATACCTTTACGCTTGAACAAGAACAATAGCGACAATGAAAATTTGTGTACGATGTATCCAGAAAAAAAATTAAAACTAATTGGAATCCAAGAATATACGCATTGACTATGTAATCATTAGTTGTTAATGTAATAATGGAGAGTAGAGAATTTTAGGACATAATTAAAGGGATTCAGTTATAGTACCATATATTACCTTATTTAATGCACTATAATTCTAATGTTATCATTGTATAATTAAAACAAATAAAAAAAATACACAAATACAACTAGATATTCATATAAAATGTAGCCATTTTTAGTAAATAACATACTTATAACTAATGAACTTCAACAACCCTATAAATGTAGTCATTTATGTAAGTTGCTGATTTTTTTATGCTCAAATTCGCCCTAGCCTTTTTAAAATTTAGGCCCAATTCTCCCCAACCCAAAAGTTTTGTCATATTATTAGTTATTTTTGTTCTTTTTTCTCATTTATTATTTTTGTCTTATCATTAATTATTTTTGTTCTTTCTCATTAATTATTTTTATTTTCTCTTTTATTCTTTTTCTCATTTATTATTTTTTTATTTTTTTCATATTATCCTTTATTAGAGATACCATTTGATAATATTATTTTTTGTTAGTTTATCTTCTTCTTTTTTTCTCTCTTTCTATATTTTTACCTTTTTAAGAAATTAAAATATTTTTTTTTTGTTCTTTTCTTATTTATTATCTCATTTATTATTTTTATTCTTTTTTCATATTATCCTTTATTAGAGATATCATTTGGTAACAATTTTTTTTATTCTTTTTTATTTTATATTTTATTAGAGATACCATTTGATAGTATTTTTATTATTTGTTTCTTTGTTATTTTTTTTCTTTTATTAAAAATACTATTTGGTAATATATACTCTTACAGTATCATTTATCAATGAGTATAGCGTGTGGACAAGAAACCTTAATGATACCAAAAAAAAATAATTTTACTCTAATAGATATATACATACTCTTATAGTATCATTGACTAATGAGTAATTTCTGAAGAAGAAATCTTATTGATACCCCCTGCCCCACACACACACATATATATACACACACATACACACACTAATTTAGTATCAGTTACACGAAATTATTACTTGGGGCATCTATTGTAATTATTTAGGGGGCATCAATGTAATGGGGTGTATTTTTATAATTAATCTGTATTTATGTAGCATTTACTTAATTTATCCTTTTAAAAATGTTAGCACTAGTTTTTTAATGCATGTAAATTATACATGTATCCTTAAATTAAAAAATCGCAAAAAATTATAAGAAGTTTATCAATACTATTTAGGTAAAATTTGATAATTATACAATAAACTACTTTGTTTACAAAAAAAATTATTGTCAAGTTTCATTTACCTGGAAAAAAAATTGGACAAATTACTTAACTATACTCCTTTACTTATCTTAATATTCATTTATCCCTACTTATTTCAAAAATTTCAAAAATCCCTTATTTACCTATGTATCCCGCATGTATCCCGTGCACAACGATATGTATTCCGCTATGTGGAATGTTTCAAACGCTATGTATCCCGTGCACAACGCTATGTATCCCGCTATGTGAAATGCATCAAACCCCACTATGTGGAATGTATCAAATCTAATGTATCCCGTGCACAACACTATGTATCCCGCAAACATCATTTTTAAGGGATTTTTGGTAAATAGAAAACTAGAAGGGATAGGATGTTATGTAGTACTTATAATATGTGGTTTCTATAATTTATACAAAAAAATATATTTCTATCTCCATTACCGCACAAAAAACGATTTCTCTCTAGTTTCGCCGAGAAAAGCTCAATTTTTCTGGTGATTCATTGTCAATTCTTCAATTTAGCTGATTCAGCCAATTTCTGTTTTGATTCATCAATTTGTCTATTAATTCATCAATCTCAATGGATTCTTTCACAATTTTGATTCACACAAAGGTGTATTAGAGAATAACAATAAATACGCCAATTACATTATTGATGTTGTTGTTGTCAATTTTGATTGTGATCTTGAAGATCTAACTACCGCTGTTTCTACAAAAAATTGGTGTAACTACAATAGCAAACTTCATGGAGATGAAATATATCCTCACTGATCAGTCTCTATCTATATTAATACACAATAACACGAGTGTTAAGATTTATATGGAGTTGAAACGAAAAAACCCATATATATCTTCGTACCCACTTTGTGTCACGTTAAAATGAATTTTTATGGTCTTCAACAACTGGACTACAGTTGCTAGTCTCTCTACAGAAAATAAAGATAGTATACAAAAAGTATACAATGCATATACATTTGAAATGTTTGAGGTTGGAATCATAGGTTATGGTGCAGTAGTGAGAGAGAAGGTAAATTATATTAGTGATAGTTGTTTTAACCTGAAAGCTGAGAAATGATAAATTTATAAAGATAAGACAACGATTGTCAAAGTTTAGAAGAACTATGCTATTCAAAATCAGTTCTGATTTAGGATCAAAGATCATGATCAAGCAATGCAACAACTTAGGACCCGTTTGGCCATAGATTTCCCAAGTAATATTTGGGGGGAAATTTAACAAATAGTATTTGTTCATACAATTTACCATTATTTGGCAAATTTTCAAATACTAGTTTTTTCTAGTATTTGGGATCTTTTAAAAATTAAAATTTTACACCAAATTTTTATCTTTTACAAAAACACCCTCTATAGTAGTTGTTGCGTTGTATTACATAATTTATTACGTGAACACCAAAGTAGTGATGAAATATTCAGTTAATATGAAAGTGATAAAATGGTTGTTGTGAAAATGATGAACAATCGGCTCATGGTAACAAAGTTATGTGCTTTGTCTACTTCACGATATATGGAATGATGCTTGTTGCACTCACTCCAAACTACCACATTGCTCTAGTGTCATGGACACTACTTGTTATTTGTTGCAATGAAGATCCAATTGACTTGTAATACAAACTTATTGTTAGTTTGGATAGTTTTTAAAACTTATGGGTATAAATCATATTTTTCTAAAAAAGTGAAATATGTTTCCCAAATACTATGGTCAAACACATGGTGAAATTTCACCCAAATAATATTTGCCAAGAATACTTGGAAATCTATGGGCAAACGCTAGCTTAGATTTTGTTACTTTTTCACTATTTCTATTATATGTATACAATAACGAACTGAATTCTTCAATAATTTTCACTCTTTTAGTTGTCATCAAAACACTTAAGACAGGTCACAATTGTAAATTCTTTAAGACCGTACCTCAAGATGGTGCCATTAATCTTAACCGACAAATCATTAATATTATCCAAAATAACCACTCTCAACAATAATGCATGTTTAGTTGATGCCGAATAACACTACTGAAACATTTTGAGCTATCTTTTATTCAATGCGTTCTTCAACACACTCATGAAATCAATGTTAGTATGCATACTAAACCCTACACTATACATGTTTGTCGATTGAATATAAAAACCACCAATATTTTACATATACCAAAAGGAATCATGTCAAGAATTTATGAACATTAAAATAGTTTGACAAATAATACTAAAACGAAAGTAGTACAAGGAACAACAAAATAAGAAAAAAAATAAAAATAAGAAGACATACACATATGATCAAATGTACGCTATTAAAGTAATGAAAATACGTTAATTTGAAACAAAACAGAATGTCCACTAGACTTAGAGACCTAGAACCACCATTAACAATTATAAAAAATGTGAAAATATAAAAAAATATAGTAAGTCAAATTTCACGAAATACCTTTTGATCACATCTTTCTTGGGCGATCATCTGCCTATTTGTCGTCCACAACACTCTGACTGCCTTTTACTCGGCATGCTACAACTTCAACTTCACTTTGATTATGATTTTGCATAGAGCAATCTAAGCGCTTGGACTTATATTCACCATGTTTAGAGCCTTTTTTTTTTTTTGAAACATATATTTCAAAATTCTTTTATTTGTTGAAACATGGGTTGCACTCGCAACCGATACACACACAACATCAATGAAAATAAATAATGTCAAAACAAGTTGAAATTGAAGATTAAATTGACTCAATTGAAGATTCTCTTAAAATGACTCAAGACTGTAATGAATTAAAATTGAACCCAATTCAAATTATCTTGAGCTCAACCCATAAAATTTTGGACAAATTGGACGGGTTACCTATATTTGAGCTCATTTTGATACCCCTACGAGCTATAATCCACCCAATACACATAGTAAGCACCCTAAATCCTAATAAAACCTAGAAATCACCTACGAAGATTCAAAGTAATGAAAAAACAACAATAATCAACGAAGAAGGAGATAGCTTACCTCCACCGAAGGTGAAGAGGATGAGCTAAAAACAAAAAGCTAAGAAGAGGTGAAAAAATTCGGACAGAATCGTGCATGTTTTTTCTGGAGAAAAGAAATATAATAAATGTATATTAGTTACATCAACTATGACCATTTTATCCATATTTAGTCATTTCGGACATTAATGTTGCAAAACAAAAAAGTGGTAAACAAATATCATGAAAGGCCATTTGGTGTAATTTTCTCTATTATTATGTAAACAAAAATATGTAAATAAATAATTATATATGAAAATATAAAACAAACAATAGTATATACATCCTTATTCTGTGATATTTCAGCTACACAATTTATCGTAAGACAATTTATGAGAATAGTAATAGACAGTTTATGCTATTCTTACTTTGTGATATTTGAGCTACACAACTTATAATTGTAAATATTACTCACATGTTATTTTTCAGCCAAAAGAAAAGAGAAAAGAGAAAAAAAGAAAAGAAAAGACCTTTTTCAGATTCTAAAACCCTAAACCCCAAATACGTCGTCTCCCTTCTTCCTCACTCCTCTCAGGCCTACAAAAAGCGCCTAAACTCTCTTTCATCTCTCCCAGGGTTACAAAAAACCAGCTTAGCAGTTAAGGTTTAACGATGGCTACTTCACTGGTTGCTCAACTGCAGCGGTTAGCAGTCCCGGATACTGAGCAGCGTAAACGACCATTTACTCGTCCTTCAATCTTGTTTGACCCAAAAGAAGCCGCCGATGTCGAGCTCGACACCATTCTCAACATTGCTCAATCAGGTGCCAACCCTTTTTAAGCATTCACAAATAGCTGCTTGTTACTTGTAATTTTCAGTAGGATACCAGGGAATTGTTTTGGTGTGTACTTTTTTTGCTTGGTCCTCATGCATAGTCTCATTTAATTGCTCCAAAATCCCACCTTTCAAGTGCCACGAAACTTATGCCTGATTGTTAAGCTGCGCACTTCAGTGTTTTTGGGCTGAAGTGAAACCAGGAAGACTATTGGCAGTTCCTAATTGGGATTTTCTGTATTACCAAGAAGTTATGTATTGGACAAAGTTATCTTACACATGTAGATATACAGGGCAAAGCAAAATAGTTTTATATTCATTTTTTCATCAAGCATTTACTCTTCATATTTTTCTGGAATTCGATTGTTGTTATTGTTATTCATTTGTATTGGACATCACCTAAATAAAACTTTCTGGTGTTTTCTTATATGCCATTCAGGTTTGGAGGTGTTAATAAGTATCGAAGAAAGATTTAAGAAGTACAAAAGTGACTTGTTTAGTTATGGGAGTAGAGAATTGGATAGAGAGTTGATGGGGATTGAGGAAAACAAACGAATCAACGCATCAATTTATTCCTACTTGCAGTTGTTATCAGGATATTTTGAGTTATCAGCGGCCCTAAAGACATTAGAGTACTTGATTCGTAGATACAAGTAAGCTGCTCAATTTCAGTTGTTGAATTTAATGCAACACACTATTTATTGGTGCTTCTTAAATATTTCTATACCACTTGATTTACACACACTGTTTGTTTCATGCTATTTGCATTTGTTTCTGTATCTAACTCTATCTGAATTTTCTTTCAACAGAATCCACATATATAATATTGAGGAATTAATTTTATGTGCCTTGCCTTACCATGACACTCATGTATTCGTTCGAGTAGTGCAACTAATAGACACTGGGTAAGAATGTTAATGTTTGCATATCTCATGTGGTGGTCTAGGATATCAGATACAGGAATATAACATCTTCTGCCTGTTTCAGGAATAGCAAATGGAAATTTCTTGAAGGGGTTAAGGTTTCTGGTGCACCACTCCCCAGGAAGATTATCGTGCAACAAAGTATACGTGACTTTGGGATCTTAGAGTGTTTGTGCAACTATGTATGCACCTATCCATTGTGTGTATACCTGATTGTCTTGTTGATTTTTTTTTTTTTTTTTTGATGTATTACAAATTTTGAATGGAAAATTATAGGTGACAGCTTCAAAGAAGGTTGAGCCATCAAGGCCTGTATCTGGCTTTTGTACAGCTGTAATATTTGAGGTCTTAGGATCACTCACTACGATAGACAGTGATGCAGTGAGGAGAGTCCTGCCTTTTGTGGAATTTGGACTTCAACCAGGCTCCAGTGGAGGAACCGATCAAAAGGTTAGCTTAGTGGCTTCGTATGCGATAACTATTTTATGTTATAATGCTGCTTGACATTCTTTTTATTTTGCCTCTTGTCACCAAGTCCTCCTTAGTCTAAATATGTCGATCACTGTTTGATACTCCAGAGTAAGAGGTTGGCTTGACTTGTACTGTGCAAATCTGGAGGCTGTCATGAACCTTTGTCCTGTTTGATTTTTAGTGCTACCAAAACAGAGATCTATGCATGTGGTGACTGAGATGTGGAAATACAGTCACATTTTATGTGTTTTTTCTTATTCCATTCACGTTAACTTACATTTCTAAGTCTTCCCCTGTAGTGTTCTTTTTTGCCTACTTGATTAAATGCGTGGCACATTTTGTATCGGTGGAATTTCTTACATTCAGACATTCTAGAGTCTTCAAGCCATATCATTCATTGATCATGTGAATGGGATTTTGGCTTTTTGTAGGCTGGTGCTCTGATGATCGTTAGCCTGCTAGCTGATAAGGTAACTCTGTCCCCTAAGGTTGTCAAAAGCTTGATCCGTTCCCTTGCTGAAGTTGCTCGAGCAGATGCAAGAGATTCTACTGACTTGCAGTGGTGCCGTATGTCTTTGATGACCCTAGTCACTCTTGTCCAGGTATTGTTGTGTTCCATTCACTTTGGTAGAGAGTATTTTCAGCATTTCTTCCCTCTAGTTTGGGTTAGAAAAATGTATTATGTGGTTCTTTTTGATATATTTTATCCTGGGGTCTATACTAAGGGTCCTTTGGACATGATACAAGTTGATTTGAAGGTGAAGTTTTGTTTGGACATGCATTTGGATTTCTTAAGTTGCATTTTTCTTATAACATGAAAATCCCATAATTTGTGAAAACTGTCAAAACTTCCCCAACTCATATACAATCTTACCAAATGAGCAAATAATTGTTCATAAACAAGGTATCAAAATATCCTAAAACGTTGAAATAATAAATCACATATTTCCATGGTCCTTTTATAAATAAATATTTGCAATTACATGTTATTACAAACTTTCAAATACACATAATTTTTCTAAGATTCATTGGTTCATTAAATCAACAATTATACTCCCTCTGTCCCTTTTTATATGACTTACTTTCCTTTTTAGTTAGTCCCAAAAAGAATGACACATTTTTATATTTAGTAGCAATATAACTTTAAAATACCTATTTTTTACCTTCTAGGAAATGATTTCTAGCTACACAAATATCTATAATTTATTTTAGAGCACAAGTTTCAAAAGTCTTTCTTCCTTTCTTAAACTAACTATTCTTATTCTTTCATAAAATCTCCTCCCACATGGTATTTACGATCTCTTCCCATCGAACATGAGTCTATTTTTTTCTTGCAAAATTTAAAATTATGGGTCTTTTTTGTAAATATAAACTTATGTTCCAGTCTTATATATTTAAAAAATTGAAATCACAATTTCTAGTTCTGAATCCTACTATTTGGAGAATTTTTGAGATTTGAAATCATGATTTAAAATTGAAGTTGGAATTTTATGCATATTTTTAAGCATACGTTGATTTGAAATAAAATCGCTTAATCATACTCCCAATCCTATGGCCAAACGCGTACTAAATATGCAAATTATGTTGTGTTCTAGACTTCTAGTGGAAAGCTTTGTGGACTTAGAAGACGGATTTCTTACACTATTATTCTGATAGTGTTGTATATTTTCCTCGTTATCACTTAGCTACCTTAAAAGTGGTATTGTTCTTATGGTAGCTGATGCTAAAGAATCAACCCACAAATAACTGCTTGTATATATACAGCTAGATATCTAAATGGATATGGATAATATTAGGTGAGCTTCAAGAGTGTTTGTGAATTATGTTTTTTTTTTTTTAATTACTATCAACAGTCTGTAAAAGCTTAGCCTCAAAAGTCGAGTAGCAAAGTGGTGGTTAGCAGAGAACTTATTATTGTATGATTTTAAAGTGGGAACTGTTGAAAGCATATTTATCTGTTTAATTGTTTGGTTCTAGGGGTAACAGTGATTTTTTTAATTAGTCTATTGCTGTATTCTCTTAGACACCTTTTTGTTGTTGATAGATGATTACATTTAACTAAAAAAAGGAACTTTGTGTGTCGGTCATCTGATTATCCCTTTCTACATAAAAAAACTAGGAAATCATGGAATCTGGAACAACAATGTTTAACAGGATTAGTTCTCAACATAGCTTGTTGGGGAGTTTCTTTGTCTTCTAGTATAAAGATATTCAGAATTTTATGTAAGATGCATGGTTAATAATGAGAGCTTTGGATAGAACCAATTGAGATTTAAGATGAAGGCAAAAGAGGAACTTAGCTGTATCTACTTTGTTTATGGTATAAGTTACTAATAGTTTGTTGTGTGCACATTTATCTTGGACCTTCATTATGATAAAACTATGGACACATTATATGCAAGGGAGTCAATACTTTAGAAGTAAAGTCTTGAGGATCAATTAGGAATAGGATTCCCAAGATGATGGTCTTTATGCTCTCAAATTTCATTCTTTGCTTGGATGCAATCCAGTGAATTACTAGGGCCTTTCTGGTGGCAATAGTTAGAGAAATGGATATTTATCTAGATTACTGAATGCTTAATTTTTTTTAAATGTCAACTTGATGTTAAGCCTATTATGTCTCCTCATCTGTATGTGTCGTGGTGTCTGTCTGTCTGCCCATTTTCCAGATAGAGTGCTAGTAGTTGTTTAATTGATCGCTGTTACCTTTATATAAAAGGCAAGTTGTTTATCTGATTGCATGAGGAATGGCACAGGAACATATCCTTCTTTTTTACAATGTTGACTATTAGCGTGCTGGTTTAATTTTGTAAGTGTTCTAGCAATTGTTATCTATGTCTCTAACTTCGTACTCCGGTTTAATGACACTTTATGCAGTTGCAATCTGTTGAAATTATCCCCAAGAAGATCGTTGATATCCTCAAGGACATCAGGTGTAATGTTGTGCCCTGCTCATGTACCACCACATAGTAAACCGTTTGTTGCCTAAGTTGAAATTTGTAATATTCCTCTGAATCCTGTTTCTGGCTGTTTGTCTAAAGGGATATTTCGGGACTTCTAAGTGAATTGGTAGAGGAGTTCAACACAGAGAAATTTCTGGCCTTGTTTTTGGACTCTCTTGTTGAATACAGGTGGGAATGGCTGCTTTACCTGCTCTGACGTTTTACTGTTTGCTAGACCCTCTGACTTTAATTTTTATGTTTTGTAGTTGTTCCGATGATCTTTGCCATGGAACTCTGTTGTCTATAGTAGAGATGGTTCCTTTAAAGGGCTTTGTTGCTCGTATAGTCTCAAAGCTGCTTAACACATCTTTGCGGATATTGAAGGACAATGATTCAGCAGCTGCAGGTTTGCTTTGTTTTAAGATTAGCATACACATCATCTATTCCATCCTATTGCATTTGAAATATTTTCATTGATTTCGCCAACCTGACGTGCATAAATGTCATAAATGCTAAAACTAGTTGAGTAGGCACACACTGTCCAAGCGTCTGCTTAATGTAAATTCAATTAAATGTTGATAAAAGGGAAAAGAGTACTTGGGTTCAAAGAAAAGAAGGAAAAGAGTTTGCGGGGTGGGGGTGGGGGGTGGGGGTATGTGGCAGACTGGATATGAAATTAAATTAGCTCCCATTCTTTTAGGGGATGATTGTTTTAACTTTTAATTTGTAGTGGTTAACGGGGTATTGCGGGAAGAAACATGCAAGTAACTGTGTTACACTACTACTCTGCTCACCCTGGAAGACTCCTGGTGTTCTTTAACTGCATGTCTGAATAAGCATCTCACTTCCTATAGATTGTTGAATAATATTTCTTGTTCTGCTTTTGCTAACCCGTATTTCTTTTTTCATGTCATTCTATGCTTATAATTATTAGGGAGCCGGTGCAATCAGATATTGGTTTCTCTCCTTAAGAAATATCTGTTCGAGTCACGTGAAGCTGTCAACAGATATATTGAGGTTTGTTTATCTTGCTTGTCTCTCCATATTCTGTGTGGTTTTTGATCTTTTCTTATTATGGGGTAATTGTTTAGTTTAATCATTGATGTAAAATATCTTTTTTTCTTTGCGTGCAGGATATTAAACTGCGGTCCAAAAATGACTATGAAATAGTTATCAGGATGTTGAACTGTAATTTAGATCTTTCACATGAAATATCTAATTCAAAAGTTTGGTTTGCCATGGAACATCCAAAGGTATCTTTGTTTACCTTCCCATATTATATATTTCTATCCTGATGGCTTCATCCTTTGGGCTGGCTACTTCTCTCTTATATTTTTCTTAGAAGTAAAAAAAAGAGGATAGTTTGCCAATTAAAAAAGAACTAATAAGATATTTTACACTTCACATCTTCAAATGGGCGAAAGGCATGAGTATCATTGGGGAGCAACTTTGTTTTTCCCCTGATAATGATGATTTGGAGCAATCTTCAAAGCAGTAGCATATGGTTGGTAGTAATATGATCTTTTCCACTAAATGGATCAGAATTTGGGCATATTTGACCCCATTGTTACAAAAAGACAAAACAGACTGAAGGATAGCAGCTAAGATGCATTGCTGTTGGCATTTTGAGTTAACGAGTTAACCAGAAAATGAAGTTGTCCATCTTCTGACAAGAAATTTCACCAATACAAATTAATTCTTCAACTAAGAAGTGATATTGACATTTGGAAGAAGCGCAGTGATTTTTGTAATAAAGATTAGATATCTTATGATAAAATATAGATCAATTTTGTTATTGGGAAAAAATGTTGTTTTAAAGAATAGCACCCAAGGGTGTGACCTGGTAGTCAATGAAGTGGGTTGAGAACCACAAGGTCTCAAGTTCAAATCCCAGTAGAGATAAAAAGTACTAGCCTTGGTGGACAGAGGTACCTACCTTGTACATTTTGCTGGCGGGAGGTGACATATATCTCGAGGAATTAGTCAAGGTGCGCCAAAGTTGGTCCGGACACCATGGTCATCAAAAATACAATAAAATAAAATATTGTTTTAAAGAAGAGATCTATTCTCAAAAAAAGAAAGAAAGATGATCATGTGTTTGTACTTTGTAAATGATATTTTAAAGAGTAGATCACGAGTCTGTGCTTTGTACTTGTCGTTTTAATGAACTTCTGAGATCAAATCCAGTTAAGTATGGTACAAACTATTATTTACACATTTACATGTGTTTTTTTTGCAGGCAGAGGTTCGTCGATCTGCTCTTTTGGGCCTGGATGTGCGTGGTATGTTGAATGTTGAAGCAGCTGATTCTCAGGTATTCCTTCGTTCCTTTAATCTAGATGTGCTGTTTTCCCTTACCCAACTAGTTGTTTTTATCTGTTTTTTGACCTTCATCCGGAGAGAATTTAATCTTGATATGATATACTTTGTTAGATCATAAGCAAAATTAGTATTATTACTCTCGAATAAAAGATAGACCTTGAGCCTTGATTCAACCCTAAAAACTGCTCATGAAGTGAGCATTGCTTACAACCATTTAAAGAGACCTATTCTGTTCCTAAATAGTTGATGTGGGGAACTCAACACACCCCTCACTCGGGCCTACTAGAGCATAGATGACATACTATGAGGGCTCAACATTGGGTAAAACCAAGGATTGGAATGTGCCTGGCTTTGATACTATGATGAGAAATTTCTGCTCAACCAACCCTAAAAATTAGCTCATGATGTGAGTATTGCCAAAGACCATATAAGGAGATCAAATAACCTTGCTCACAACCTATGTGAGACTTTGACAACCACACACGCCCGCCCAAGAATGGACATGTGGAGTGTGAAAAACTTAGTATGAGGGCCCAACATTGGGTAAAGTGTAAACCAAGAGTTAAGATGAGTCTGATTCTGTAATACAATGATAAGTAATGGACCTTTAGCCTAACTCAACCTTCAAAGGCAGCTCAAAAAGGTAAGGATAGCCAAGATCTTGATCCTATAAAGAGATCTTCCCATCTCTAATAACCGATGTGAGAACTCAATACTTCTTTGTTGATGGTGTCTGCAGAGCTTTAGATTTATGGCGATCAAGCTGTATTCTGAATTACCTAAACACCGAGTATAGTCCTTCGGTTTTTAATACTCCTATCTGACTATCAACATGAGTAATTGACATCCGAAACTGTGAGAACTTTATCCTTGGGCTGTTTTTACCATAAGTGAAATGAGCTAGTATGTTAAGGACAATGCCATCACTGTTTAATTTTAGCTACTGTTGTTGTGATTGTTGATGATTTCTTATTCATCTGTTTATATATCTTGTTGAACATCAAGCATGCTCCTAGTATTTTTTTGAGACTGAAAAATCTTCAAGCACGCTCCTAAAAATTCTGATTGCTGAATGTTAATTTCCTCTGTTGGGATGTTTAGCGCATTCCAAAATTTGTCTTTGCATCTAAATGGGGAGGAAAATGCTGCTGTACTGTGTTTGGGAAGCTCTGACCTGGATTTTTAGTTGTATGTGTTACTTGGCCCCACCTGGAATGGTTGAGGGAAGGATGCTCTAATAGTTTTACTGGGATGTGACTTTGCAATATTATTTGATTGTTGCATGCAGCTGTCTCTTTTCAAATAATTGTAGTTTGGAGGTTTAATTGAATTGGTATGCTAGCTTCTCTATAATTTGGTGCTCGTCTATTCTGCATGAATCTATTTTTATGAGGTGCATTGAATTATTCTATTGATAAAGTCTCTTCAGACTTCATTTCTAATATCTGCTCTTCCATTCAGAGATTTGGCACCATTCAAGATGCTATACTACGCCGGCTCTGTGATGAAGATATAACTGTTGTTCAGGCTGCTTTAAACCTAGAGGCATTGCCCGAAATAATAAGTGCTCCACTTCGTATTGATGCATTCAGGAATGTGCTCCAAAGATGCATTAAGTTATTATCATCAGGTATCTTAACTTTTGCATTTGGTGAATTTTGTCCTGAATTGGACATATGTTTATATTAACTCTTCAAATTACAGGTGCATCTCATGGTGCCTCTCTAGCTGTTGACATCGCTCTGTCTTGCCTCCAGCATGCTGCAGCGGGTTTGCCAGATGAGGGTGAACATGTGAAGATGGTGGCGGCATTAATTTTTCCCTTTATTATGATAATTCTGAAGGTTACATCAAAAAGTTTCAGTTGTTTCCTTTTAGTCACCGAGCTCTCAAGTTTAGCTTTCTCATTATCTTATTCTTTTCTGATGTTTAATACAGACCCAAAGATTAAATCTGAAAGCTCTTGAAATGGCCAAGCAAATTAAGTGGCCTTTCTACGAGAATCTGGTCAGTGTTTCTCTACTGGATAAGGTAATGGTTTGTATCATATTGCTGAGCATCTCTTCATTATTGTCGTATAACAGTTCATCAGAATTCAGATAAAGGACACAATTGCCTGTCTTCATTTTTAATTTTGAAACGTTAAATAGGTCTTTTAAATCTGAGTTCCCAATTTGCTCCATTTTTCGCGTATAGTGATTTAACTGCCACTGTTATTGTTCTGTAGAATCTGAGATTGTAGTCTAGTCATCACAAATTCCATCTGCTATATAATTTTGTAATAGGTCTTTCAGTTTATATCTTTTCCTTATGTTCAAATGTAAAAATATGTGTGTGCATGTCTTAGTGTAACATAATGTTACCAGAAATCAACTTTGGGACTTGCTTGTACAGAGTTAGGAAATAAATGTTTGCAGAAGCCTATTCCATTTACACTTTTAAACAGTTCTCTTTTTTTCTTTTACTCGGGGGGCAGAGGAGGTTGACGGATGCCCTCCTTTGGGTGGGGGGGGGGGGTGGTGCGTCATTTGTTCTTATTTAATTTTGTCAAAAAATGAATGATCATTGAACTAATCTTGCATTTTTAATTTATATTTAGAAACTAGATTCTGGAAAAATATCCTCAATCAACGTGGAGAACATTAATGTGCTAGCAAAAGCATTGTTAGTACATCCCGAGGAACATTTGCCTTGGCTGGTAGAATGCTGCAAAACCTTGAAACTGTCAAAAACTTTGTTCTTGTTGGTGTTGTTGCAATCTTTCACACTGCTGGAAACAGGTAATTGAATGGCTGGTTTGATGCTCTGGTGCTTCCACTCTATTCCCGTTTTTCTACCCTAGTGTTCTAGGTCGGGCCTTCCTTGATGCTTTAAACAAGTGAAAAATTAACACCAAATTTGCAGTGCCTATTAATCTCTGTTAACTCATGTCTTAGCTTTTAAGATATCCCAAAGGACTCATAGAAATTGTTTGATTTATATATTTTGTCAAAAAAATTGTTCGATTTATATGTACTAATATTTGACCTAGAATGACTTGCTTTGGTTTTAGTAAAATGTTCAGACTTGATTATTCTTTTTTTGATAACTGAGAAATCGCTGAGGGTCAGTGTCACATGGTTAGAAACATGGTGGATAATGGGCCCTCGGAGATTTCTTGAATACAGAAAAGGATGTGAGTCATTATTGTTTTTTGCTTTTCTAGAATCACCCAGACACACAAGTGTGGAGGGAGGATATGATGTAAATTTTTGGATACCAGCTTTGAGCTGATGATTGATATGCAAATGTTACCTTTATCAAAAAAAGAATCACCAAATGTGGCAAAATGAAAAATAGATTCTTAGTGTACTGGGTTATTTAATTACACTTGCAACTGAATCAAGTCGTGGCAATCTTGGTTGAAGTTTGAAGATCTTTAAAATAATGGTAAGGCCTTTCTTTAAAACAAGCTAACAACACCTTATCAAAATCAACAACATACCCAGTGAAATCCAACAATAGTAAAATAATGTGATAATCAAAACACAACAAACAATATATGGTGATAATTATAAAAAAAAGAAGTAACAAGAATAGGACTAGTAGTCTAGTACTACTACAAACATCAACAAGCCTAAACCTTCCAAAAGTAAGATAGCACTCCACTACCTACTAACCTTCTACCTTAATACATGACCTCCACACCTTCCTATCTAAAGTCACGTTCTCGGTAATATGATGCTGTGACATGTCCTGTCTAATCACTTCTCCCTAAATACTTTTTCGGCCTACCTCTACCTCTCCTCATACCCCCTATATCCAATCTCTCTCACCTCCTCACGGAATGCCTGCGCATCCACACTATAGAACTTACCTTTAAGTTTAGGTGGTACCTTTTTATCACACAAGACTTCGGAGCTACCTCCACTTCATCTATGCCGCACCAATGCGATGTGTGACATCATCAATGGTGTCCCACTTCTGTGTATTTGCAGACCCAAGATACTTGAAATTCTCTCTATTGGGGATAGTCTGTGTATTTGCCTCACTTCCACGCCTACCTCATGCATCGCATCACTGATTCAACAATTTTGAATATCCAGAAACCTAAGAAAAGAGGCCAACTTCTGTTCTCAACAGTCTCTTTTTTTCTCTCTTTAGAATCTTGTTTTTGATACTACCCTTTTCATTGTAAGATTTCAAATTGCAATGCTCGAATCTCCGTTCTTGAGTTTAACATTTTGAACCAAGTATTGGTACCCGAGGATTCACGTTCCAATTGGCTGCTTTTTTAAAGCCAATTCTTTAACAAAATTTTGATTATTCCAATCTGTGATGGAGCTAAAGTTAATTAGGGAGTTCAATTGAGTCCCCCTTGTTGGGAAGTAATACTGTGCAAGTAGGGTAAAAACAAAATTTTGCTTGTATGTATATACATTGTCGAATCTCCTTAATATAATCATGTAGTGGTGAAGGGTGTTCATTAATTACTTCAAGTCACAGGTTCATATTCCTAGTGTTGTATTCTTGCATCTTTTAATCTCCTTATTAGAATTTCTGGATCAGCTACTGATTCAAATTTAGAACTCAGAAAGAGTAGAAGCTAACTAATATTGGTCAAAGGATTAGAATAAGTTGAAAAGATACTTTTGCTCTTTGATTTTACAGCTCTAATGATAGATTACTGCAACGTTATTTTGGAAAATGTTATGTTTACTTTTGGCTCCTCCCCTTTGTTAGGAGGTGGTCAATTTTCAACGTTCTTTGGCATTTGCTTTCCGATTCTCCGAATGGAATGGGAGTTGCTCGAGTCTGCTGGGAATATTTCAGAAGAGGTGGCTGATATGTAGTTTTCTGCCATTGACAGCAGTAGGTTATTGTTGTTTTTTGGCACCACCTTTTACTAATATCTTCCTTCATTAATTACAGTTCAACCCAGGATTATGGGAGGGAGACATTAGTATACTCATTAAGCATATGCTTGCTACCAACCCGAAAGAAGTCAATGGTGAAATTCTGACTTGCTTGTTTTGGAGGCTGCTTGGGTCATTTAGTAAAATAGCAGCTGAAACAGAACCTTTGGTTGGTGATCCATTTTCTTATTTTGACATCTATATTTTTTTTTGCTTTTTCGTCACCTGATGTGTTTCCTGTCTTGTTTGCAGGATAAGAATGAGAACTGGTTATGCTGCTTTCGGGATCTGTTTGTCTTTCTTGTATCCCGTACGAACCATGTCTTCAAGAAACATCTGTCTAATGTTGTTGCAAAATGCAAGCTCCAGACATCACACTTCCTCTCAGAGTTCTTTACTGATGAAGGTTTTGAGACAGTGCCTTTTAACTTCTTCATCGTTCTGTATTAGTGTTGTTATTACCAACTCATTTTTTTGTGCATCTGTCTTTTCTTAAGCAGTAATATCTTGACCCTCGAGAATATCAATTACTGGAAAAGCATCTTTCTTAAATGTGCTGTTAATAATTGCCGTTTTCCTGCATAGTGACATTGTTTTGTGAATTTACTTTTTTTGAAGTTCTTTACTGAGGGATGTTTAGAAACTGTTTCCTTTAAATTCTTGTTCATTCTCTTAACCATCTTGCTATTACAAATTTTACCTTAATATTCCTCCCCTTAGTTAACTATTAATAAAGTTCCTTTCCTACAGTAGTTGTTCATCATATCTTAAAAGACTCATGTTTTGATGTTTAGCTTATCAATTTCTGGATAGACAACTGACCTGACCGTTACTGCTAAAACTAGAGTGTTCAGTAATGGTGACACTTCTTGGTTCAAGTTTGCACATTACTTTCATTTCTGATTGGTAGTTTCATTTGAGATTAAGGCATTTGAATTGCAAGCTTTTCTGCTCAAATGAAATGGTCTCTATGCAATCTCATAAAGAACATTAGTATCTAAAAGCATCTCTGGAATACAAGCATGTTGAAATTACATTCAACCTGTTCTACAATGTGTTAAATTAAGGCTAGGTGTGAAGCTAGTGATGTGTTGATAAAAGATCTGAAGTTCGTACAAGTTCTCTGGAGGAGAATTATCAATTTGTCTCTGTGGGGAATCGATCCATTATATCTCCTTTTCTCAGCTAAATATGATTTCTGTGTTAACTTTTCCTTGCATTGCCCAAGAACCCTAATCCCTTCCATATTAAACTTTGTATTAAATTGATAAAGTAAAATCAACCTAACAAAAGAAAAGAAACTTGTCAATTCTTTTTAGGGAGTTCTCTAGATAAGAAATTGGGGAGATGTTGCACTGAAGAGTATATTCATACCGGACTAGCCTTCCAGGTTTATAAAGGATAAACTTTGTGCATCTTATATGGTCTCGCAAGGTTAATTCTGAACTCTGCACATCAAGGAAACAAAATGGATGAAAGGCAAAGATTCAGTCTGGGATAACTGTAGAATGTGATTGTACATCCTAATTTTGCCAACAGTGGGAGGTCTGATGAAATTTGAACTGAATTTCTGGAAGGTTTGTTTGAGAAAAGGAGCCCCTGTCAGTTGCTTAATTAGTAGATAGTTGTGATGCAGTGATGATTTTGTGATGTTTATGGATTTGGTGAAGATGTCCATTCTGGTGTAGTCAACTATCCGGAATTTTTTATTCACTGCTCCTTTATGATCTTTCTTGAGGATTTGGGTTACTGTTTACTATATTTTTGGATGTTTTGATCCCACAGGTGTTTCTGCTGCTCTCCTTATTGGAAGTCTTCAAATTTTCACATCTCTTTGTGCTCGTCCGGACGAGAGTCTTTCATTTCAACTCTTGGCTGAATTTCCCTCGATCCTTGTTCCGCTATCAAGTGATAACCAGGTTTTGCATTTACTTCTTAAATTTAGAACGTTTTAGCAAAACAACTCAGACTGTTCTCTTAGAAAATTTTCGTGTTTCTCTGTTTTGTTAAGAGAAACACATTTTAGCTTTTCTTTTTATCGAAAGAAAATGGAAATATGCCTTTTTCTTTAGATGGTGTTCTGTTTCACATTTAAAAGCAAAGTACTTTTTTTTTCTGTATGTAGGATGTGCGCACAGCAGCAATGAATACCATTGAAGGACTTCTATCCTTGTGGTCACGCGTTGATTTATCCAGATCTAAAAATGGTATTCCTCTCTGGCAGAAGTCAGTTAACTCTTGTTTACTTCTTGTATACTACTCCTGTACGGGGATTTTTTCCCACATCAACAAAATAAAATCCCCCATGAAGAAGAAGGTTCTCCAGTGATGTCTTTCTCTTCCATATGGCTTTAACATTCTGCAAAATGACAGGTCCTCCTGCTGTCTGGGTTCATTTCCTGGGAGAAATATTGGGCTTAATGGTTCAGCAGAAGAGATTGCTAATATCAGATAAAAATGTCCTCTCATCATTGTTTTCATCATTGCTAGGCAACTCCAACGATTCTCTCTTAGTGCAACACAATGTTGGAAAGAGGTTTGCACTGTGCTCCAATAGCACCCATCATTTTTTTTAGTAAATGTTGCATTCTTTGCTCCATATTTATTTTTTGGTCTGTTGCGACCTGCGGTTGGGGAGTGGGTTACTGTAACTTAGTTGAGTATGCCAAAGACTTTGATCCGATGATCAGAGCTCTTCTATTTGATGTTTCTTTCTTATTATTAAATAAAAGCCTATGAGCAGTATCTAAGCAAAGAGAACTCGGTCAAGTGCTTTTGTTGATATCCAGTAGTCAAACTCCAGGACAAGAAGGAAAATAGAGTGAATCCTCTTCAAAGGAAAGCCCCACCTGCTGATACCAGAGCCTGAGATGGTAAACTTGTATACATAAAGAAACAATTCTTGAACCATATCAGGCAATTGTTCTACCATACGAAGTTGGAGATTGAAGAAGATCACACTGTGCAGCAACTGAGGCAAGATCTCTATATGTTGATAGATACCCGAGAGACTGAGTCCTTGGGGGAGAGAGAAAAGAGGCGTTACTCCCAGAAAACGTGCAACCAACCTTTCCTTCCCGCTTCTTCCTTGAGATTCAATCTCATAGAGTTCATTTCCCGTTCTCAACCCTTGAAAAATATGAGCTCGCAGTTTCCTTCGCAACTCCCGGAACTTCTTCGTAGTGGCTCCCCTGCATCCCTCATTTTAGAGAGAACCTCAAAATGTCTCTATTTCATTTTCTTTTTGAAATAGTTAACTTTGTATATTACTACAACAGTACACAGGCAGTACTTAGCCATCTTTACAATAAGTTCATCAAATCTAGCTATCTGATCCTAAATTGAGTCTAGTACATCAGTTAGGGAGATAGTGTCATTGGAGTATAACTGATTACACCAAAAACACAGTAGCAACAGGCAATTAAGTTTGACTTTTTGCATACTGTTTTCTATACTATCAAAACATCTGGAATACCTCTCCTTCCATATTGCCCACCAAATGCTAGCAGGGACAATTATCCATCTCTCTCTGCTCTTAGACTGCATTCGACAAATACTTTCTTCTGATTTTGTCTGATTTGTTGATGACCCTCTGAGGAATTGGAAACACCGACATCATATAAGTTGGGAGGGCATCAAGGACAAAATTTATCAAAGTCAGTCTCCCACTTCTGGGTAATTTCCACCTTGCTAGATTTATTTCATTATATTCCAGCCATATTCCAATTCCATTCATTTAATATCCCTTTGGTATTGTTGACATGGAAAATGTCATTTCTAGTCTCTTTTTCGGTGCTAGGCGAGGTTTCTTATTATTTTTCAATCTTTTCTGCTAGGTAATCTAGGATAAGTAATGTTATTTGATGCGAGGCTTGTTGAAAGGATTGTTATTCTTGCAGATATATCAGATGTCAACATCATCTTATGTACAGTCTTCATTGTTTTTGAAATATGTTGGCATAATGGAGGTTACTTAAATTTGCTTTCACAGATTTGATCAGACAACTAAAGAAGAAATCCTGGCTTCCTTGATAGATTCTGCCCTTATATTTTCTGCATATGCAAAGGTTGGCCTTCTTGATATATTTATACATGCAATGTTTGTTTTTGTTTGACCTTTGTTGAACTGTCAAAATTTGTATACAGCTAAAGATTTTGTCGTTGCTCAAAGGCGTGGGGCATACGGTTCTACGTGTTAATGGTATTGAATCATTAATGCTTGATCTTCTTGATAGACGCCAGAAGTATCATATTGGGTTTGACAAATCATGCCATAAGTTGTCACACGTTGAAGTCACCATTCTTTGTATTCTACTGGAGGTAAAATTATAAAATATGTAATTCCCTTATATTAGTTCTTATTATGTTTATCTAAGCTTCTCAATAATTTGACTTGGATTGTCATTGTTCATAGTTGTGTATAAAGCCTTCTACTACAACTATTGGTGACCTTGAGGTCTTGGACCCTGTATTAAAAGCCTTGCAGGTTAGTTGGCCTTCATTCTGTACCCTCCCACCTTTTGAACATGTACCAATATAAATTTCAATACTATGATGAATCATAACCTTCTGAGAAATGTACTGATAATATGCCATACTTTCTGGTCCTAGGTCAGTGATGTGTTGTCCGGAGACCCTGCTATTCTGAAGCCTTGTATGACTGTCCTTGGGGATCTTAGCAATTCCTTCTATGCAAGTCTGAAGACTGAGACTCAGGTTAATGACTGGGCATTTATTACCTTGCTCAATGTGCAAAGATTGATCTGAAGCAGTTTTTCTCCTCACTTATTTTATAGTGGATTTTTGACATAGCTGAGCTAAAGGACTTTGATGTTAACAAGAATAAACAAGAGCTGATTGACGTGATAATAATACTCCAATACTTCCTTAATTATACATTTTCTAATAATTGGCTACTCTCTCTCTCTCTCTCTCTCTATATATATATATATATATATATATATATATATATATTTCATTTGGCTATTTTGCATATATGAAGTCTGTTGTTTCGGTTATCTGTTTCTGTGTGTCCATGTACCTGATGTATACCTGATAAAGTACTTGAGCTTCCTGAGCTTGGATTCAGGGAAAATTTATGCCATGTATACAATATGGGAACTTTCATAGAGTCTAGAGAGTATTTTAAAGGCTTACATGTGGTAACTGCATTGTAAGCCTGCTTAGGTTAAACTTCTTTCTGTTTCTGTAGGTCCACTGAGCTGCCAACATAAGCTTTATAATGCAGCACCATTTTCTTAGTGTCTATAGCATGTAGTTGGCCTCTTCAAGTCAGCTTCCTTTAGATCAGGATAAGAAGGCTATAGAAAAAGTTGATTTCTGGCATTCTCTTGTTCTTGTGGAAAAGAGCGAATAAACGTTTAAGCGGTAGAAAGTTCTCTGTCACCCATAAATTCTATCCTCAATTCCATAGGTTCTATTCTCAATTGCTTAATGATAAAAATATTCTTGTCATAGGTTTTCCTATTTTATGCTGTCTTGTCTTCTTGCTTCTCATGCTGTGTTAGCTTTTTTTTTCTGCTTCTGCTACTACTAAATTCTTTAATACGTAGGTGGTGCGTGGATGCCTGACAGGACAATGTATCTCTATTATCAATTTCTTAATAATTGGATGCTTCACTCTTCATACTATCTGAACTTCTTTTTTTTTTTTTATATGAATGTTATCTAGACTTCTTTGATTACTTTGCTGCTATTCTCATTCTTCTTTTTGTGAGTAGAGTGCATGAACTTGAATTTCTTCTTTTAACTAAGTATTTTTCTTGAAAACTTGTATTTGTGAATGTCATTGATCATGGTTTGAACTTTCAGGATCTTGTCTTTCGGCATCTTGTGCTCTTGTTTCGCAGTGCCAACGGGGATATACAAAAAGCCACAAGAGAGGCCTTGCTTCGCATTAATGTATGTTCCTAACTTTCTTCTCATCTGATATGCAGTGATTATTCACTGTCTAAGCATGTTCCAAGTTCCAGAACATCTAGCACCAATTTACATGTATTTGTTATAAGAAGTCTATGTGAAACTAATATAGCTCATTGAAATGAGCAAAATTGTATCTAGAGTGTTCTCTGAGTTATAAATCGTTCTTTTGCCTACACACATACTCACTTTGTGCTCTGTGTCTATATCTAATCTGAAGCACATACGTGACAAGTTAGTTGGTTGTATCCAAAACACATAGGTGAGAAACCTTGCAGTAATAAACAATAGACTTTGGAATCTGTCCGTGTGTTCACGTGCAGATCATTCCAATAATGCTAGAGTGCATTTCGCTTTGATCTGGAACTTGCAAAAATTTAAGGCTTTCATATTGTCTTTACGCTCTAGCTTATGTTCAACACTAATTACCAATTGCAGTTGAGAAAACCATACAAGTCCATACGCCCTAAGTTGTGTATCATGTGCTAGGGAGGTAGTGAAACAAAGTCACATCTCTTTCTCAGTGTTACCAAAGGAGCGCTTTAAGCGCGCTTAAGCCCTAAAGTGAGGCTCAAAACGTGTTGAGTGCTTCGCCTCGCTTTATGTGCGCTTCAGTGTCGTCATCAAAGTTCTAAGACAAACTTTTCCTTGTCAATGAGCCTCTTATGAAGAAGTGACACTTAACAATTGATATTTCACTTTATCATAAATTTTTTTCAATTTCTTTGGTCATATATTCATTCATGTTTATAATTATTAGTCTTGGACTAAACATACACATTTTTTTTTTTCTCCCTTTGCGCCTTTTTTCATTAAATCCCACGCTTTATTTGCGCTTTGCACTTAAAGCCCCCACGGACCTTAGAGCTTTTTTGCGCTTTTTGCTTTTAATAACACTGCTCTTTCTAGATTGTGAATGTATTGGACTGTGTTCACTCAATTGGTTCGGTTTTTGGTACTCAGTCCAGTTTATTTGATTGTCGGTGTTTGGTTCTGTTTTTCTTTCTCAGGTTGATTTTCTTGATTCAGTGTCCCATTATGGGGCTCAAGTATTCTTGCTTAAATTTGAAAATATTTTATAAATACATAAAATCATTGTCTTATGGTAAAAGAAAATCCACATTGCTTTACTGACCTGGTGAACCTCAATGGTATAAATATCTGGATTTAAAAAAAAATCCTTGTACTCTCTAAATCGCTCTTTTAGTGGGGAGGAATAGCACACAATGCTGTTCTTGGACAAGGGAGTCATTCCTCCAAATAAAGCTAGTGGTGACTGACTTAATTTTTCTTCCAGATCACTTGCTCGATTGTTAGTCGGATACTTGGTTTCATTTGTGAGCAGAAAGTTTGGTCAAATGGGTCAAAGCAAGAAAAGAAAAGAAAGAAAAGAAGTGCCTGCAATAATCGTGATGTTTGCCTTGATATTATTCCGGGAGGTGGAAACATTGTTGCTTTTGTTGGTTCTCTGCTTGATGTGTTGCTGTTGAAAAAAGACATGGAAAACAGGTCAGTTGGACTTGTCATGCTACCATCTTATTGACTTGTCCACGATTAGTGCAGCAATATGACTAACCTATGCCTATAGATACCCTTGTTTTTTGACTATTGATGATATCAATTAATCATTTTGTAGAGGTTCTCTCATTTGTCCCTTGTTCAAGCTTCTTCAAAATGCCTTCATTGATAATGAGTGGATTCATGTGGCTGCCAACCAGAGTGATTTACATTATCATTCTTCATCTGGAAACTCTCAAATCATTGCTGATGCCGCTGTTCACATCCAACAAGAGTTGCTCCTTATCTTGGAAGACATTACTGCTAGTGTCACATCTGAGGTTTTATTAGGGGGCCTTTTTGTTTAAATATACTGAGTTATTTTGGGTTTCCTTATCCACATTTACTTATGCATTTTGTCAGGATAAAAATTCTATGAACTTTGATGTGGAGCTCCTCATTAAGTGTGCCCGTTCTGCAAGCAATATGGTCACACGCAATCAAATTTTCTCATTGTTATCTGCTATTTCCAGAGCTAAGCCAGATGAAGTTTTAGACCATATCTTGGAAATTCTTGTTGTCATTGGGGAATCTGCTGTCACTCAGGTCTTTCTTTGAGCATATGAATTTTTTTCCTTTTCCTTTTGCCGCTCTTTGTTTTTCAGTACTCCTGTGTTGCGATAACTGTTTTGAATTTATGCGTCAAATTTGACTAATGATAATTGAACACCATGTCACACAAGTCACATACCAGTCTGCATGTTGAAACTAGAAGTTCCAACAATTTAAAAATTGAACACTGCATTTATGGTATTGAGTGTGTATATTTATGTCATCTCTACCGAGAGATTTTACATCTTTAAGTTCTCTTTCTACAGTGGGACAGCAATTTTCAACATATATATGAGGACCTCATATCTGCGGTTGTACCATGTTGGTTGTCTAAAACTGACAGTGCAGACGCGTTGCTTCAGGTAATATGGGCAGCATCCCCCTTACAATAATAAAATAAAAAATACGGACATCATCCACTAATAGATGCCATAACTCATGGAACTTTGTACTGATGCTGTAAATCTTTACTTCTCCAGATCTTTGTAAGTATTCTGCCTCAGGTCTCTGAACACCAGAGGATTTCAATGATTGTGCACGTTTTGAGGTATAGAATTCAAATTTTGAGCTGTAATATGTTCTCTGGCTGCATCATTTTTCTTTAATACGATTCTCTTGCAGGCATCTGGGTGAAAGTGTTAGTTTAGGATCATTGCTCTACCTCCTATTTCGTTCGCTAGTTGCGAGAAACTGCTCCTCCTTGTGTGACAGAAGTGATCCATCTTTCAGTTACTCAATTTCCCTCATAACTACGCAGTGGGAATATTTATTCGCTGTAGATTTGTTGGAAAAATATTCGTGTACAGTATGGCTTCCCTCAATTTTGCTTCTTCTTCAGCAAATAGTAGTTAGCGACAGTGATGCAACACTCTTCATGGAGCAGCTAGTTGCAATGCATTTCATCTCAAACAAACTCCAAGATCCTGAAATTGCTTTTAAGCTTGATTCAGGGGAAGATTCAGACAACATTCAGGTTTGTATGCGTTGTCATTTCTTTTGAACTACTGTTTAGTAAATGTATGATAGTTATCCTGATCACTTGAAAGATGAATAGTGCATGAGTGCTTCATAATGTGAGGAATGATCCTCTTTTTTTTTATTTTATTTATTTATGAAGTAGTGAGGAATGATCCTCTTCTTGTATTCTTACATCAAACTTTTTCGGGTTTGTATGCAAATGGATATTTTATTCTGTCCAACAGCCTTCTCTTTTCTTTGGTATCCTTGTAATAATATATTTTGGGTTCATATGCAGATAATTGTTTTATGATCTTGCTTACCATCCTATGATAAGTTTTTCGAATTTCATTTGCGATCTTGATCTAATATCCAGCAAAACATGGAGTAATCCAGAAATTTTAGGAGTGCCTTTAAAGCTTTTCTACAAAATCACAATATTTCTTGCTTGTGCTTGGCTGTATAGTAATATAAATACTTGCAGTTACTTGTCTTTTTCTGTTTGTTATTGTGACATACACGAACTGCTCCTTTTGTTGCTTTCCATAGTTGGAGATTATCTTTGCATGACACCATGCCTGATGTTCTAACCTAATAATACTCTTGAGTTTCTTTTCCCTAATTGGGTCCTTCAAGATTTGTCTTTTAAACCAAACTTCTGAAATGACGACTAAATTCTAGCTTTCTATAGATGTATGATTGCAGTGACTCAACTTATACAGAGATAAAATGCCTTTAATACTGAGAATTGATCATTTAAATGGCATGACGACTTTTGCTGCTGTTTTTTCTTGTGCATTTGCATAATTCTTTTCTTTAACCCATTTAATTCTATTGCTGGTGCAGCTGACAGTTGGGGTAATCATGAAGGAAATTGTTCGTCATCTCCAACTTGTTGACTCCAAAAGAAAGCAGATAGGTGTTCTTTCTGTTTTCCGGAAGGAGCTAAAGGAATATATGAATACTGTTTTAAGTGCTGTTACGAAACGACTTACACCCTCTGTATACTTCAAAGCAATTGTTCAATTGCTGGGTCATGTAGATAAATGTGTGAGAAGAAAGGTAATGTAGACACTTATCCTTGCCATTGTTATTCAGAAAGTTATTTACACTTGTGACACCTGCTATCTTTGGGAGCTTAAGCACCTCACACGTCTTTCAAGGTGCATTTGATAAAGCTGTTAGTTTTACACTTCTCAATTTTTTTTCTTTCTGTATGCGACTAAATTTAAAACAATTTCAGCATTTGGGCCTATTTCCTGTTGGAAATTGTCTAGTCGATGCACTCTCATTCTTTGAAAAAAATGTGTAAGCATGTGGCATATGAAAGAGATCTTGTTGGAATTTTTCCTGTTAAGCTATTTTGGTGTTACTTCAGTTTTATTGTGGTGATACTGTTTTTGTCTTTTATAAACAGGCTCTTGGAACTTTGTCTGAGACAGTGAAGGATACTGGGTTTGTTGGCTTAAAGCATGAAAAGAGGGGTCCAGCTTTGAGTTCAAGAATTTCGTGGTTTCATCTGGACGAGAATTCTTTGCAATCACTGGACACTTTGTGTCTTGAGATATTAAAATTAGTAAACTCACAGAGTGAATCAAGTAGTTCTTTGAAACTGGCAGCAGTGTCAACGCTGGAAGTTTTAGCAAACAGGTTTCCTTCAGATAATTCAGTATTTAGTGCATGCTTAGATTCTGTTAGTAAAAGCATCTGTACGGACAATTCTGCCCTCTCTTCTAGTTGCCTTCGTACAGCTGGTGCCTTGATTAATGTGCTAGGACCAAAGGCGCTCCCTCAGCTACCTTTTGTCATGGAAGGCATGATTAGGCAATCTCACAATGATTTGTCAACTGTAACAGCAGAAACCAAACCAACTGATGGTGATGCTCCCACAGTTTCATCAATTCAGAATGATTCTGTCTTGATGTCTATTTTGCTCGCCCTAGAGGCAGTTGTAAACAAGCTTGGTGGCTTTTTAAATCCATATCTTGGTGATATTTTGGAACTTATGTTATTGAAGCCTCAGTACACTTCCACGTCAGAACTAAAACTGAAGCTGAAAGCTGATTCTGTACGAAAGCTAATCGCTGAAAGAGTCCCTGTAAGTTTCATCTAGTGCATATCTTTGTATGGTATGATTTATATGTGCAGTACTTTGAACTCCTTCTACTCCTTGATTGAGCAGGTTCGTCTTTTACTTTCTCCATTGCTGAGGGTATATTCTGATGCAATTACTTGTGGGGATTCTAGTGTATCGGTTGCTTTTGAAATGATACAAAACCTTGTGGCTGCTATGGATAGATCATCGGTTGGTGCGTATCATGTAAGAATTTTTGACGTATGCTTACAAGGTCTTGACCTGCGTCGTCAGCACCCTGCTGCTGTTAAAAATGTTGATGCTGTCGAGAAGAATGTCATCAATACAGTGGTGGCGCTTACCATGAAACTTACAGAGAAAATGTTCAAACCTCTTTTCATGAGGAGTATTGAATGGTCAGAGTCGATCGTTGAAGAAAATGAAAATGTAGGGACCAAAAGTATAGATCGATCTATTGCCTTCTATGGCTTGGTTAACAGTCTAGCTGACAGCCAAAGGTGAGTCATCAGCATCTTTTTTTTCTTTTCCAAATCCATTTTTACTTAGTCTTGTGATTTGATTTAGTTATGAGACACAGCCAGTACAATTTTGCGAGTTGTTGTAGATCTCATGTGGATAAAAACTTGGAATGGTTGAAATATCCGGGACCAGATACTGAGCGACACTGTATCATTCAGTGGAGGCATTTGGCATACCACCTAATCCTATTCCCCCCCCTCCCACCCAAGCACTTTTGATAGGTGAAGGTGGTGCTTTTGCTTAGACTTCGGTAGTAGGCTCAGAAATTTCAGCAACTCATTATAAGAGGTGTTCTACAAACTGAGACTGATACCTGAAATAGTAGTTTTAGCTGACGGGCTACAAGGTTCAGTTTGTTTTTTGACCGCCCACCACAAGCTTAGGATGCCAGGAGAACTCTGCCATTGTTAGGCATTCATCCATGCTAAAGTTGTTTTTATGACTCTACACTCTTCTGTGTTTCTTTTCCTTTCTTTCATTGCGCTAGTCTTTCCCTCTCTGAGGCACCAATAGGCGTGGAACTCCTTGTTTATTATATCATCCTGGATCCTATGTGAGTTTTTTCTGGTTGAGCAACTATCTCGGGAAAAAAAAAAGATTATTGCAACTGCACTCTTATAAAACTAATGCTTATTTTCTAGGAGAAGTTTGAGATTATTGCAACCATACTCTTAGAGCCTGTTTGGATGGGCTTTTAAGCTGGTCAAACTGGCTTAAAAGCCAGTTTTTGACTTATTAGAGTGTTTGGCAATTATCAAAGTGACTTATTTTAAGTCAAAAATGACTTATTTTAAGCCAAAAGCTAAAAGCTAGGGGAGGGGAGCTTTTTTTTTTTTTTAACTTAAAAGCCCTTTTATGTTGACTAAGTATATTACCTTTTTGCCCTTAATTCTTTTATACAATTTCCAAATTGCCCATATTGAATTATTATTATTATTATATTATTATTATATTATTATTACTATTACTATTATTATTATTATTATTATTACTATTACTATTATTAATTATTATTATTATTAAATTATTATATGATTATTATGTTTATTATTATAATAATAATAATTCTTATTATTATGTGTATTATTATTATAATAATTATTATAACTATTATTATTATTATTATTACTATTATTATTATTATTTATTATTATTATTTTATTATTATTATTATTATAATAATTATTATAATTATAATAATAATAATTATTATTATTATTATTATTGCTATTACTATTATTATTATTATTATTTTATTATTATTATTATATTATTATTATTATTATGTTTATTATTATTATTATTATTATGTTTATTATTATTATTGTTATTATAAATATTATTATTATTATTACTATTACTATTACTATTACTATTACTATTATTATTACTATTACTATTATTATTATTATTTATTATTATTATTATTTTATTATTATTATTTCTGAAATATGAATTTATATTCCTCTTATAAGGTGGTAAAGAAATATGTGAATGATAGAAAAATATTATTACTTATGAATGTAAAACATAAATTAATTTTGTTTTAATTTTTTTTTTAAGTATAAAAACCTTAAATTAATCAACTTTTTATCATGTTAACAGCTTAAAGGGTATTTCATACATTTTGATAAAAAAAAATGTTTACCAGCACTTATTTGCCAAACACATCAACAACTTTTTTTCCAATTGCAACACTTTTATCCAAACACATAACTACTTATTTTTAAAATAAGTTCCAGCACTTTAAAAAGTTACTTTTTAAAAGTTACTTTTTTTAAGTCAATCCAAACGGACTCTTAAAGTGATGCTTATTTGTTGGAATATTTCAGAGAGAACTAGAATATTAATGTTTATGTTTCACCTCAGGTCGTTGTTTGTACCAAATTTCAAGCACTTGCTTGATGGCTGTGTGAGACATCTCATGGATGCTGAAGATGCAGGATCAGCTCTAAAGCACAAGAAGAAAAAGGTGAAGCTTCAGGAAAGCAACAGCAAGAAGAAGGATACCGATCGTGGTTTGTCCATTGGTTTGTGGCATCTGAGAGCTTTGATTTTGTCCTCCCTGCATAAATCTTTCCTGTATGACACTGGGACACTGAAGTTTCTAGACTCAGCAAATTTTCAGGCAAGTTGTACTCCCTATGCCTTTTCTCTATTAATTTGCATATTTGAGAAGCTTATCATTATTCGTTTACTGTTCGATCGGTAAAACAAGTTGTTTTTCATTCTTGATAATATGTGATATTCTTCTCTTACCATTTTCCATCTGTTTCATTTTCTGCCTATACGTTTATGTAGGGGGGACCTCAATGAATAAGTTTGTTTTCTATTGCAAAGTACGTCCTTATTCAACACATGAATGCCACTAATGTTGATAGATTATCCCTTGGTTTTGTGTTTGTAAGCTAGCTTCACTTATTATTGGGAGTATGGATTGCTCAGTCTTAATTGTCAGCTGCTTGCTTAATACACCCAGATCGACTTTCTATGACAGAATGAAAAACAGTGCCTTCAATCTGGCTTGTCGCATGATTACTTTGTTTTATGAGGATTTAGTCAGGTGTGTAGGGCGGGGGTTGACGCATGTAAATACAAGCGGTGTCATCCAACGCTGCTTTGGTCTCTGAAAAAAATCACTTGTATGAAGGTAAATAATATGCAGAATATAATATAAGATAAATAGACAGTGATGACACCAACTCCCTGACCATATCTTGGTTTTTAAACTTTTAGTGTCATCAAACTACAAATGGCAACAAGACTTGATCCCTGGACTTCTCCTTCAAAAAGAAGAAACTCTTCCAACTAAGCAAAGATCCATTTGGATTAGATTTCTGCAATAGATCTGATGATCTGTGACCCTTAACAATCAAATTGGAACCTGCAAACATTAACAATTAATCCGTTCTATCGTTGAATTATATATTCAAATCTTAAAATCCTATCTTCAAAAAAACTTCATTTACCAATTTCAGTCGTCCTAAACTTTTCTATAATTTGCAAGTTTTTAGGTAATCAAACATACTACGTGTTACTCTTTTCATTTGTGAATTCTCGTAATATTTTTTGTCCTTGTTCTTTTTAGTTTGAATTTCTTGAAATTATTCGCTGTTGTAGTTTGAATAGTTGGAAATATTTATGGCAATAGATGCAAGGCTGGTGGCTTTTGCTGTAATAACTCTTAAATTTGTCTTTTGTTGAGATATTAGCTCTTTCCTCTTTCTTCTCTATCATTCAACATGTGTCTCAAACTCAATGTGAGAAATCTCATTTGAGTTTGCTTATTTTTAAACATAAAAATAGTGTGTCGAAATAGAGTAGAATCACTAAAATGAAAACTCTGTTGAATTTTTTCAAGTGACCAACTGCACAATAGAAGATTGTGCTTCTTGCACTACTCAAGCATACTCATATAAAACAAAAAAAGAAATAGCATTGAAATCGATTGCTATTGACCAATCAGAATTGCCATCCAAGATCTATTATTGCCTCAAAATGTCCAACATATATACATTTTTTTGAAATAGATGTCCAATATATCTACATTGTTGGACCAAAATCTATAATCTGACCTCTGTCACCCAAAAAAGAGGTATAGTGTTGAAAATCCCAGCAATAAATGATCATTGTAGCTTGAATTGGTGGAACAATGACCAAACGTTCCAGGTGTAGAGGAAGGTGTTGGTCGCTCTAGAGAGCAAAGAGTAGGTCGTTGTAGAGAGGGATGTCTCCGGTCACTGGATAAGAAAACACGTGAATAATCATAAAATGGAGCCCATATGGTCGCCGAAGAGATAAGCGACATTAGGTTGCTTGAAAAGAAAGGAAAAAAGAAGAAGCTAGTTTTATGCTTTGCAGAAGCTATTTTTTAGTCTCTTCCAAGACTGTAGGGGTTTTGGTACTATGCGAAAAAGTATAGAAGAAGAATTCTCCCATGGGTTTAGTTGAAGTAGCAAAGGTTGAGGGACTCGTGACTTGAATCGCACCTTCGAGCCCTGTGCATGCGAGGTAAGTCTAGTATTTAAACGGAGAAGGTATTGAGCGGGTCCGTTATCCCTGAGTTTCGAAAGCTAGGTTGGTTCTGGATGTATTTCTCAGTCATCCAAAAAGAAGTATAACGAAGAATTCTTGTGGACTTCATTAATAGTGTTCAGGAATAGATGCTGGGGTTGCATACAAAACCGACACATAATCATTTTTATGCCTAATAAGCTAAGTTAAATTATGCAGTTAAATACATCATATCTTAACATATCCTATAGCATATCTTGTTATTTTTTCTTACTCAACAATGAATCTTGATATGCAAACTTGGGGATATGTTCTGTTAAAGTTCTACAACTCTTTTTTTTTTTTTTGACAAAGGTATGTGGGTTAGGGTGGCTGGGGGATTCATGAGTATCTCCTGTTTGTTACAAATTTAACTGAAACAGAGGTTTATCGTAAATGTCAGAGTAGGTACTTTAGTTGGGTGATGTCAGTGGTTATTTGTTTCTTCCAACATTGTTTGTCTTAATTTTGATTTATGATTTTGCTGGATGCAAGTTGCTCTGCATACAAGCAAAAATTGAAAATGTGATTGGTCATATAAGGTGTAAAAAGTGTGTTGTACTCAATAAAGGTTGTATGAGCAGAAGTAAGGTTCTTGTAGCTGTACAGATGAAAGTGCCATAAGAATTTCCAACTGTTTTGTAGTTCCCTTATTCGACTGACATTCTGTGTTTCATTAGGTTCTTTTAAAACCGATAGTGTTGCAGCTTGTAACAGACCCACCAGTTGCGCTGATGCAATACCCCAATGTGCCATCAGTGGAAGAAGTTGATGATTTATTAGTTGCATGTGTTGGTCGGATGGCTGTAACTGCTGGTTCTGACCTCCTCTGGAAGCCACTAAACCATGAGGTGACTACTAAATTTACTTTTACAACGTTTATTGCTTACTATTATCTATTTTCAGTTTTATGATCACAGTGGATAAATTCCTGGGATTAAATATGTTTCATGTATATTTATCTGTATAAACTCCTACCATAATGACTCCCCCGGAATCTCTCTGTTGAGGAGAATGAGACGAACTATAGATTCTGTGTATGATTTCTTGTTGTCCTCTCCAGCCGATATCTAAGATCAATTCGGTACTTCTTTTAATGAACTCTGCTGAGCTAAGTGGGTTGTATCATGTCAGTTGGGCCGCTATAAGATACAGTTTTTTCTTCTATGCAATTTGTTTGAACTAATGGCATCCAAATTCTTATTTTTCATTTGGTTAGTTCATTTTTTGCATTTGAGAATAATACTAAATACAATATGAAGGGCAAGGTAAACCCATGCTTCTATGTTGTGGGAGTTACCAAATGAATTTGAGTCTGCCTGCTCATCCTGGCAAGATTTTAGGTATAGTTTCTCAATTCTGTTTAATCATCAAATTCTCCTCTTCATTGCAATTTGCACCTGATTCATTACTAGTTGTGACCTTGCCAAATTGGATAAATGCATGAAGTTGTAGTTGTTTATTTTTTGGCGTTAATCAATTTACACGCCTTCTACCCTACCTGTATCTCTTCCCACTTAGATCATTCATTTGCTCTTTTGATGTGCTTCAAAAACCATGTAGTTTTTCAATAAAGAGATTTTGACTGCTCACACTATCTATACAGGTGCTGATGCAAACTCGTAGTGAGAAGTTGCGCTCTCGAATTCTGGGTTTGAGAATTGTCAAGTATATGGTGGAGAATCTGAAAGAAGAATATCTGGTCTTATTGGCCGAGACCATTCCCTTCCTTGGGGAGCTGCTTGAAGATGTTGAGCTTCCTGTCAAGTCTCTTGCACAAGAAATTCTCAAGGAGATGGAATCGATGAGTGGTGAAAGCTTACGGCAATATCTCTGAACTTAATTGTGAATCTATAGAAGCATCTTCCTCAAGGGTGTGTAGCGCAGAGATTTTGCCTTCTGAGGCCTTCTTGTTTTGAAAGGTAATGAGCACCTTGCAGCATTCTTCCCTTCCTAGCCCGAAATACGGAGATATCAGGGCACATATACAGCACTTGGCAGGACCGGACAAACTGGACACTCATCGTGGGACTATTCCATGTTTTCCCTACTTAAGACTTGTGCACAGAGCTCGGAAATCTGAGAGTATTGGCGATAGTTTTGTAGCTGATTATTTAGGACCTTTGTAGCATAGAAAGAATAGCCTCTTGTTGAGATGTATATACATGGTGTGGCCTTACCTCTTTTTCTCCTGTAGATGGAAGGCAATTTTGTTCAATTGGAAAGAGAACAGTGTATTCTGCTGTTGTCAACAGTTAAAAGTATTTATCTAAGCTCATAGCAAGAGAAGTCGTTATTGTTTTGCTAGCCCTAAACGGTCACCATTTATATTTGAACCATAATTTTGATGTTAAAAGTTAAATGAATGGCTACAAATTCTCATAATAAATTTACTTTTTGATGTTGCTATCTCTAGTGTATTCACAATCTCTATGTTCTACCAAATTAAGAAATCATAAATAAGAAGGGTGTTTTTACTAATTAACCTATTTTTACTTTTTAATACACTCTATGTATGTTTATCCATCAGTAACAAAGATCATTAATGCAGGAACATTTGTGGACGTTACTGTATTTGTACTTTAAAAAAGAATTGATTTGATTTAAGGGTAAAATAATTTTTAAAATTAATTCTATCTTGATTCGTAAATTGACAAGTAGCATTGGGATGGAAGGCATAATATCATTCGTTTGATACAATAAACTCATTGTTTTAAAATTACTCATTTTGTCTTAGATTTACTTGTTAAATGACTTTCTATATCTATCAAAGAAAATAATATCCCCTTTATTTCAATTTATATGACTTACTTTTTTTTTCCGTCATTTTAAAAAAAATGACACATTTCTAGTAAGAATTTAACTTTAACATGTCTATTTTATCCGTAATGAAATAATTTATAGTCACACAAACAACTATGACTTATTTTATGGTAGGGGTGTACATGGCTGGGTTGGTTCGAATTTTTCAAATATCAAACCTAACTATTTGTGTTGAATTTTTAAATCTATAAACCAAACCAATAAAACTCGGATTTTTCAACTTCGGGTTTTTCCGGATTTTTTCGGGTTTTTCTGGTAAAGTATTCATACAAATATATAATCAGTGGCGGAGCCACCTTACTATTAAGGGGTTCATCCGAACCCCCTTCGGCAATGAACCCCCTTTGGCGGAAAATTATATAATATATACATGATTAAAATAACTTTTTAGGTATATATAGTAGATGTCAAACCCCCTTTGGCTACTTCATGTATCTATTTTCTCAGATTTTGAACCCCCTTACTGAAAATCCTGGCTCCGCCACTGCATATAATTTACTTGTACTTCAAATATTTCTTTAGTCCTACTAAAATACAACTATCTAAGATGTTTCTTAAGAAAATAGCACAAAATATTATATGAGTAATTAGGGGTGTACAAGTCAAACCGAACCGACGAACCAAATCAAACCGAAAAAAAAAAAAACGATTTGTGGTTTGGTTTGGCGGTTGAAAAAAAAACCGACCACTCTTGGTTTGGTTTGGTATTAAAAGAAAAAAAGTCAAATTGAATATATAAATAATTTTATTTTATTTATAGATAAAAAATATCATTTATAATCTACTTTGTTAATATATTTTTAGTTAGTTTATAGTTTTCAATGTTTATATATTTTATTTCAAATTTGGGCTTGTAAAATTTTGTAAATATTATATATATAATTTTATTTTATTTATAGATAAAAAATATTATTTATAATCTACTTTGTTAATATATTTTTAGTTAGTTTATAGTTTTCAATGTTTAGATATTTTATTTTAAATTTGGGCTTGTAAAATTTTGTAAATATTATATATATAATTTTATTTTATTTATAGATAAAAAAATATTATTTATAATCTACTTTGTTAATATATTTTTAGTTAGTTTATAGTTTTCAATGTTTATATATTTTATTTCAAATTTGGGCTTGTAAAATTTGTAAATATTTTATTTTGTATTAAGATCCGAAGTTACAATTATATTGTTATAGTTTTTCAAATTCAATGTTAACAATTTACTTTGTAAATAGTTCGTTTCGTATTCAGTTTGACTGTATCCTTTAATCTTATTAATTTAACCTAATGAACATTGATATTTCAAAAAAAAAATATTTTGCACTCATGTGAATTTTATTGTGTTTACGAAAATTTATATTCATTTAACATTTCTTAAGTTTAGCTTTTCACACAGGTAAGTGAAAATATATTTGATCTCTTTTTCAAACACCGTATAGTTGTAAAAAACCAAAAAAACTGAAAAACCGAAAAAACCCAAAAGAACCTACTAAAACCGAAAAACCGACTTTGCGTGATTTGATTTGGTTTTTAGATTTAATAAACCGACATAATTGATTTAGGTTTTTTTTAATGAAAAACCAAACCAAACCGACCTATGTACACCCCTATGAGTAATGATACTAAAATATCCAACAAAAAAATAATAATAATGAAATCGCATAAAACAAATATTGCAAATTAACAAGTCATAATGAAAATGATCATAATTTAAAAGTACTAAATCATGCTAAAATAAGTTTAATAAGTATTAGTTATATGACTAAATATTAAAAGAAATTAAAATTAGATTATGTATTTGAATAAACCAATGTAAAACCATCGAACAAATATTTAATATTATGGTCATTCTTAGTGTTGAATTGATTTTCTTTTTTGCATTAGTATTAATTTGATTTTGATTTTGATTTAAGTTTTATTATAATTACCAACATCTGCGGACTATAATCTTTATTGAACCATTTAGAATTCTAAGTTACAAACTTGAAATAATAAAAGATAAAAACTATGAAAAAGTATAAGAAATATTTAAAAATTATATCAAAGTAAATATTTTTATGTATAAAATAAAATTTTAAAATTATATATATAATGTCGGATTGGTTTGGTCTCGGGTTGTTTTTTTTAGTTAAAACCAAACCAACCCTCGGTTTTTTTTTTCCAATACCAAACCTAGTCAAACCAACCACTAGTCGGGTTTTTTTCTCGGTTTGACTCGATTTGCGGTCTGGTTCGATTTTCGATTCGGTTTTGTAAACCCCTATTTTATGGCATAAGTTTGAAAAGTCTTTTACATTTTTCAAAATAATTAATTGATGGTATAATAGTTTAAAAAAGTTATTTTTTGTTGATTTGTCAAAATGGACAAATAAAAAAGGAAAATTAAACAAGTAATTAGGGACAAACTGGAAGAACTAATAAAACAGGTAACATAGAACATTCAGTTACTGACAATGGGGAGAAGCACAGATCTTAACTTTTCTGGAAAGACCTGGGCAGAGATGGTAAATATATTAGGATCATACAAGTCTAAAATATACTACCATATTGTTCAATGATGGATCAAGTGAAATGTAATACTGATGAAGCTAGCAAAGGAAATCTTGGAGAGAGTGCTATTGGGATGTGCTTCAGGGACATGAATGGAGATATTATTTATGCTCAAGCTAAAAAAATAGGATTTGCCACTAATATAGAAGCAGAGGTGAAAGCAATCCAAGAAGCTCTAAAAATCAGCTCTAGGAAGGGGTTTCGAAATCTTTTGATTCCCTTACTCTAAGGAACATCATACAGAGGACTTGGAGAAATTATGGAAGATATAATGAAGGAGATGGGGACACAGAAGGTTTCATCAAACATATTTTTAGGGAAGGCAATCAACTAGCAGATTATTTAGCTAACCTAGCTATTAATCAAACAGAAATACAAGAGTTCAATGATTTTACAGAGCTACCAACAGCAGGCAAACGCATCACAAACATGGACAAAACACAGATTCCATCCATCAGAATAAGAAACAAGCAAATAAGGTAACATGATGACACAAGATCAGACATATAGACAGACAGGGGAGGGGAGCATCAAAGTGTATTACATAGAAGCAAATCTTAGAAAGGGGATTATTACAACTACTAAAATAATTGGTTTGCTAATCTACATTAGCACAAAAAAATAGTTGACAACAAAGCTTGAAAGCAGCATCATGGAAGACACTCAAGCAAGGAGGTCAACACAGTGTCCAAGCAGACATGAAAATGCAGCACAATATCAGCTGACACAGAATACGGAGGAGTCAGGAAAGAAGGGATAGGAAAGAACCTGGAGCTGAGCTGCATCCAAAAGAGAAGGCGAGGAACATCTGGGAGATTGAGATGGAAAGATCGAAAGGGGCGGTGGTTCTGTCCACTTTCCTAATTAAGGTTAGGTAAAGATGGGCTCTTTGGCCAGACAGATGTTTCTAAAAGAACTTTATTAATAAAATGGCCTTCAGGTTGGAAAAAAAAAAAATTAGCGACAAAAAGAGTAGTACAGTAGAAATTTATTTTGGTTCAGCTTTCTCCAAAAGACGGGAGTTAGATGATTGGACGACTCCCTTTGTTTTGGAAAAGAAAAAGAGTAGAATTATAGGGAATATAAGAGGAATGTGATTGGCCCTGCCAACACTCACGTCTCCTGCGCCTTATGACATATTCTCCATTGACTCCGTTACTTTCTTCCTTCCTCTTTTCTCATCTTTCTCTCTATCTTCTTCCCTTTTCTCCATCTGCATCGAAAATCGCAGCTCAACCATTATCTACACATTTCATTTTACTTTCTCAAAGGGCAGAAGAAAAGCAAAGAATCTCTGCAAAACTCCAAACCCCATCAAGCATCTCTTCCTATTACTTCTTTTCTTTCTGTAAATATACTCTTTTAAGCACAACCCCCTAATCCTACATGGAGGACTTTTTCTTGGAGAACTTCAAATGAGGATTTTGGGAATTTCTATTTTCTTGATTCTGTTTACTTTTGCTTTTGCAAATGAAGATTTTAATTCCCATGTGGTTGATAGGCCATTGATTGTTGAGTTTTTTTGAAAATAATGAACCCTTTTTGAAGAGAACGCTTCATTTAGAGTGTACAAGTTGGAGGTTTGCTGTGGAGGCTAATAATTTAAGCCCATGGAAGATAATTCCACAGGAATGTGCTGATTATGTGAGACAATATATTACTGGTGGGGCTTATAAGATGGAGATTGATAGAGTTTCAAGTGAAGCTGGAGCCTTTGCTGAAAGCATGAAATTGGGGGATAAATGACCAAACGTTCCAGGTGTAGAGGAAGGTGTTGGTTGCTCTAGAAAGGAAAGAGTAGGTCGTTGTAGAGAGGGATGTCTCCGGTCACGGATAAAAAGAGACGTGAATAATCACAGAATAGAGCCCATATGGTCGCCGAAGAGATAAGCGACATTAGGTTGCTTGAAAAGAAAGGAAAAGAAGAAGAAGCTAGTTTTATGCTTTGCGGTAGCTATTTTTTAGTCTCTACTAAGACTGTAGGGGTTTTGGTACTATGCGAAAAAGTATAGAAGAAGAATTCTCCCATGGGTTTAGTTGAAGTGGCAAAGGTTGAGGGACTCGTGACTTGAGTCGCACCTTTGAGCCTGTGCATGCAAGGTAAGCCTAGTATTTAAATGGAGAAGGTATTGAGCGAGTCCGTTATCCCCGAGTTTCAAAAGCTAGGGTTGGTTCTGGATGTATTTCTCAGTCATCCAAAAAGAAGTATAACGAAGAATTCTTGTGGACTTCGTTAATAGTGTTCAGGAATAGATGTTGGGGTTGCATACTGACAAAACCAGCAGCATAAGCTGCAAAACAATATACTTCCTCCATTAATGGAGGTTGAGCTTTCACCAACAATCAGAGAAGAAGAAGAGAAAAGATATTATTGAGAATGTGAAAACTAAACTGTAACCAATACAATGTATGTGTATATATACACACTGATATAGTTCTCTAACAAACTCAACTAACTATGAATTGTAAACTTGTGACTCCTAACTAACTAACTAACTAACTAATTCTGTGAATTGAACAGTACACTAAAACTAACTAATCTTATCACCCCCCCTCAAGTTGGAGGTGAATTACATACAGACAACTTGCTCAATAAATTAGTATGCTTGACTCCAGTTAAGGCTTTAGTAAAGACATCAGCTAATTGCGCATCTGTGGGAATGTATTGGAGTGTGATCAATCCTTGCTGCAGCTTATTTCTGACAAAGTGACAATCCACTTCTATATGTTTAGTTCTCTCATGGAAAACTGGATTCTTAGCAATGTGCACTGCTGCTTGACTATCACAAAAAACATGTATAGGTAAAGAACATTTTACTGATAGCTCATCAAGTAATCTTTCCAGCCATACTATTTCACCCACAACTTGTCTCACAGCTCTATACTCTGCTTCTGCTGAGGATAGTGACACTGTGGGCTGTTTCTTAGACTTCCAACTAATGGGACTATCACCCATGAGAACCAAATAGCCACTCACTGACTTCCTTGAGTCAGGACAAGAGGCCCAATCTGAGTCACAATAAGCACTGATGGTGAGGTCAGGCTTATTAGAGATGAAAACTCCTAATGTAGGGTCCTGTTGTAGATATCTGAGCACATGATAGGCTGCCTTCAAATGGGGCTCTCTAGGAGATTGCATGAACTGACTGAGGTGCTGCACACTATATGCTATATCCATCCTTGTGTTGGTGAGAAAGTCAAGTTTCCCCACTAGTTTTCTATAGTGAGTAGGATCTGATAGTGGTGTGCCTTCTGTAAGTCTCAGCTTTTCATTAGAATCCAATGGGGAAGTAGTAGTTTTGTAACCCAGAGAATCAAATTCTTTCAAGAGATCAAGAGTAAACTTCCTTTGGGATATAAGAATACCATCCTGTCTGTACAAAATTTCCAGACCAAGAAAATAATGCAGCCTGCCCAAATCTTTTATTCTGAACTGATCATGTAAGAACACCTTTAAAGAAGTGATCTCATCTATATCAGTCCCAGTTAGAATGATATCGTCAACATATACTGCAACAAAGACCAGGGAGCACCCATTCTTTCGATAAAACAATGAATAATCACTGTTAGAATGAGTGTAACCTTTTGAGTAGAGGCTGCTGGCCAGCTTGTCATACCACTGTCTGCTGGCCTGCTTTAAGCCATACAATGACTTCTTCAATTTACAAACCATATTACTACTGTCCACTGCCAGTCCCTGTGGTAATGCCATGTAAACTTCCTCATTTAAATCACCATGAAGGAAAGCGTTGTTAACATCCAATTGATACATGTTCCAGCCTCTCTTGACTGCTAAAGAAATCAGAGTCCGAACAGTGGTCATCTTTACCACAGGTGAGAATGTCTCATTATAATCTACTCCAGCCTGCTGAGTGTACCCCTTTACCACCAATCTGGCCTTGAACCTCTCTACACTACCATCTGCCTTGTGTTTAATCTTGTACACCCATCTACACCCAATAACATTCTTCCCTTTAGGCAAACCAACTAGTTCCCAAGTGTCATTTGCATACAAGGCATCAAATTCCTGTGTCATTGCCACTTGCCAGGCAGGATTCAAAATTGCCTCTTCATAAGAAGAAGGTTCAATATCATGTGAAACATTATTGATCAACTGCTGACTACTAGGACACAGACTAGTGAAACATACATGATCAGGGTAAGAAATGAAAGATGTGAGTGAGTCGTGTGGATCAGAAGTGGAAGAAGACAAGTTAGGTATTGTATAAGTGTAGTCTTTCAGGTAACTTGGGGTGTGAAGGTGCCTAGTTGATCTTCTAGGTGCAAGTGGAGCATCAACAAGGGTAGAGGTGTTAGTGATAGGTCTAGGTGGAGACATAAGGACTGTAGGTTCAGTAGTTTGTGCATTAGTATTTGTGGAGACATGGTTAGTAGTGACTTCAACTAATGTGTCATCATTCAACACTTCATCATTAACAAAATTATTTGCTTTACTAGGCATGCAAGGTAATGTATCAGAATGGCTTACAAGGGATTTCAAGACAGAACTAAAAGTGGAACCAACAGGAGCAGTAACAAAAGGAAAAACAGCTTCATGAAAAATAACATCTCTGGACACATGAATTCTCTTGGTAGCCAAGTCGAGGACCTTGTAGCCTTTTGTATTGAAAGGGTATCCAATGAAGACATGTGGTGTTGCCCTTGGTTCAAACTTGTCCTTATGAGTTTTCAAGGTAGTTGGAAAGCAAAGGCATCCAAAACTTCTAAGGTGGGAGTAAGTTGGTGTTCTTTGATATAGTAGTTCATATGGGGACTTGTTTTGTAAGAGTTTAGTAGGTAGCCTATTAATAAGATATGTGGCTGTCAGGACACACTCTCCCCAATATTTCATAGGCAGTTTTGATTGGAATAGAAGTGCCCTTGCTGTTTCAAGGAGATATTTGTGCTTCCTTTCAACCACACCATTTTGTTGTGGTGTATAAGGACATGATCTTTGGTGTATTATACCTTTTTCTTGAAAGAAATTAGTTGCTTCAGTACTTGTAAATTCCAGACCATTGTCAGATCTGATAATTTTCAATTTGGTATGGAACTGATTTTCTATAAGGGAAATGAAGGCTTTTATGGTCTGCAATGCATTACTTTTGCATCTTAGCAGTTGTGTCCAGGTTGACCTACTATAGTCATCCACCATAGTTAAGAAATAATGGTGACCATCATGGGTAGGTGTGTGGTATGGTCCCCATAAGTCAATGTGAAGCAGTTCAAAGATTGTACTGGTTGTGGTTGTACTTTCTGGGAAGGGCATCCTAGTTTGTCTAGCCATAGGACATATTGTGCAAGTGAAGGGTTGTTTACTGGAAAAGTTCAGAGGTATGGTGGAGATAGTTTTCATTTTTACAAAAGGTACATGTCCCAATCTAGCATGCCATAAAAATTCAGTGTCATGAACGTGAGTAAAGTCAGTACCAGAAGAGGAATTAACAGCAGAACATAAAATATGATCAACAACACAAGCTTCTTTATTGATGGTATGAAAGTATTTTACATTTTCAGATGGACTTTGACATTTATTTCCAACAGAAGCTATCTTACAGTAGTTAAAAGAAGAAACGGGTTGACATCTGACATGAGAACCAATATTGCCATCTGCAGGTGGACAATTGTGACATTTTGGACAGAAAAAATACAGACCATTCTTGGCCTTACCAAGTGCCAGAGGGCTCTTCAGAGAAGGGCCCTGCAGTAAACAAGAAGAGCTGTTAAAGCTAACTATTCCCTTGAGTTGAAGAGCTAAACAGTGAACAGATATCAAATTGAACTTGAAGCTAGGTATAAACAAAACTTTGTACAAAGTCAGTGTAGAAGTCAAACAAACATCACCAATTTCAGTCACTTTAACCTTGTATCCATTTGGTAATGTAATGAGGAAAGGATAGGGTAGTGTTCTAAGGTTTGTAAGGGCATCTTTTGTGTAAGTCATGTGGTGTGATGCTCCTGAATCTATGATCCAAGAGCCAGCAGTTAATCTAATACATTTACATGACAAATCACCTATCTCATTTATAGAAGAATAGCAAGCAAGTATACCTGCTAGGTTCACTGATCCACCTGCCATGCTTCCTGAGCAATCAGATCCAACTTGCAGAGTTCCAAGTAGATTAAGTAGCCGCTCATACTGACTTTTGGACAGGTTCAATGGAATTTGTCTTTCCTGCTCAGTAGTTTCCTCACACTGGCCTCTATCATCCTCAGAGGCATGCACATTTGCTGCAGATCCTGAGCCCTTTCCTCTTGGAGCTTTTGTGTTGGTTGGATAACCATGAAGCTTATAGCACCTATCCTTAGTGTGTCCAATTCGTTTGCAGTACTCACAGAACAAATTTGACCTGTTCCCAGTACTGGAATTTCCCCTGAAAGTATTAGAACTGCTGTTATTGGAACTGCTTGCACCTCTGCCTGTACCTCCTCTATTGTAGTTCGTATTAAAGCCTTTGGATCCTGCATTGTATTGTGGTGACACAGATGCATTTAGAGAGGTGGATTCCAAGGCCATGTGACTAGGAGGCTTCATTTCCCTTTGCCTTTCCTCCTGTGACAAAATGGCAAATGCTTGTGCCATAGTTGGTAGATCAGACATCATGAGGATGTTTCCACGTACAGCAGTATACATCTCATTTAGGCCCATCAAAAAATGTATAAGTCTTCTATCTTGCTCAGCCTTATGCATCTTAGTTTTTCCACCACAAATACACACACAAGTGCATTGAGAATTGATATCAAGAGTGTTCATTTCTTCCCATAACTTCTTCATCTTAGTATAGTAACCAGTGACATCCAAATTACCTTGCACAAGGTCATTTATCTCCTTCTGTAGTTGATAGAGTTTGCAGCCATTAGTTTGGTCATATCTATCCTCCAACTCCTCCCAAAGCTCCTTAGCATTATTGACATATTGCAAGCTATCTCGCAGATCTGGTGATAGAGAATTTAAAATCCAAGAGGTCACCATGTCATCACACCTTTCCCACTGCATGAAGATTGGATCTGCAGAGTTTGGCTTCACGATTTTTCCATTTATAAAAACGACACATAATCAATTTTATGCCTAATAAGCTAAGTAAAGTTATGTAGTTAAATACATCATATCTTAACATATCCTATAGCATATCTTGTTATATTTTCTTACTCAACAATGAATCTTGATATACAGACTTAGGGATATGTTCTGTTAAAGTTCTACAACTTTTGATCCTTTGTTGCTTGTGTATGTGGGTTAGGGTGGCTGGGGGATTCATAAGAATCTCCTGTTTGTTACAAATTTAACTGAAACAGAGGTTTATCGTAAATGTCAGAGTAGGTACTTTAGTTGGGTGATGTCAGTGGTTATTTGTTTCTTCCAGCATTGTTTGTCTTAATTTTGATTTATGATTTTGCTGGATGCAAGTTGCTCTGCATACAAGCAAAAATTGAAAATGTGATTGGTCATATAAGGTGTAAAAAGTGTGTTGTACTCAATAAAGGTTGTATGAGCAGAAGTAAGGTTCTTGTAGCTGTACAGATGAAAGTGCCATAAGAATTTCCAACTGTTTTGTAGTTCCCTTATTCGACTGACATTCTGTGTTTCATTAGGTTCTTTTAAAACCGATAGTGTTGCAGCTTGTAACAGACCCACCAGTTGCGCTGATGCAATACCCCAATGTGCCATCAGTGGAAGAAGTTGATGATTTATTAGTTGCATGTGTTGGTCGGATGGCTGTAACTGCTGGTTCTGACCTCCTCTGGAAGCCGCTAAACCATGAGGTGACTACTAAATTTACTTTTACAATGTTTATTGCTTACTATTATCTATTTTCAGTTTTATGATCACAGTGGATAAATTCCTGGGATTAAATATGTTTCATGTATATTTATCTATATAAACTCCTACCATAATGACTCCCTCGGAATCTCTCTGTTGAGGAGAATGAGACGAACTATAGATTCTGTTTATGATTTCTTGTTGTCCTCTCCAGCTGATATCTAAGATCAATTCGGTACTTCTCTTAATGAACTCTGCTGAGCTAAGTGGGTTGTATCATGTCAGTTGGGCCGCTATAAGATACAAAAAATTTTCTTCTATGCAATTCGTTTGAACTAATGGCATCCAAAATCTTATTCTTCAGTTGGTTAGTTCATTTATCGCATTTGAGAATAGTACTAAATACAATATGAAGGGCAAGGTAAACCCATGCTTCTATGTTGTGGGAGTTACCAAATAAATTTGAGTCTGCTTGCTCATCCTGGCAATATTTTAGGTATAGTTTCTCAATTCTGTTTAATCATCAAATTCTCCTCTTCATTGCAATTTGCACCTGATTCATTACTAGTTGTGACCTTGCCAAATTGGATAAATGCATGAAGTGGTAGTTGTTTATTTTTTGGCGTTTACACGCCTTCTACCCTACCTGTGTCTCTTCCTACTTAGATTATTCATTTGTTCTTTTGATGTGCTTCAAAAACCATGTAGTTTTTCAAAAAAGAGATTTCGACTGCTCACATTATCTATACAGGTGCTGATGCAAACTCGTAGTGAGAAGTTGCGCTCTCGAATTCTGGGTTTGAGAATTGTTAAGTATATGGTGGAGAATCTGAAAAAAGAATATGTAGCAACCCTTTCGAAAGGATACTACCACTTAAACAAGAAATCTAATTAAATACTTGCGACATTTAAAAGAGGTTAACTATGGCCATATTGATTTTAATCTAGTAGAGGGATTAGATGCATAATGACCTCCGAAAAGTAATTTGAGCAAATAACCGACGAGCTTTTCATGTATATATATTATCCTCACACTCAAGGATGAAATAACAAGAATATTACAAGCTTCCGAGTACCGAAATCAGCCTGCTCATCCTTCACACAAGCATTCATAAAGTACTAGTACATTTAGGATATTACAAGTGGGTTTACACATCCAAAAAGAACAAAACATATAGCCATATTTATATTACAACTCATGGTGACATGATCAAATTATCCCTCAAAATCCCATGTAAATATACAACACATAGAATATGTACAAGTCCCAAGGTTTATACAAAATATAGATGTCTATATGCAAATGCGATCTTCCTTAAGGCTCTCAAAACATCCATCTCCAATGGCCAGCTTCAAGCATCATCTCGAACAACCCCTACGATAGAAACAACTATCGCTAAGCATATAGCTTAGTGGTGTAAAAACTATAGGTTTGGAGCCCTCAAATTCAGCAAGTTATCATTCTCAAGTCAAGGGCAGTATAATTGAACATAATAAATAAATTAAGTAAACAATATATAAAGAGTATCAAGTTTTATATTTAAAGATCCAAATGTCAAGAACGCTCATAGCACAGTTTTCCAAGAGATTCAACAACAAGGCTCGCCCAATATATACATCATGTCGTCACACCAAGCAGAAGCAGGTATCAAGAAGGGTCAAAACCCAATAATCAAGAGAACCAAGAACCATATTAAAAATGGCTTTCTAGTTCGTACTTAAAAATGGACAACTTCCATTCTTAAGACGGACTAAAAATCCAGAGTCAAGATGGCAAATGATCCGAATCAAGAGGCATGCCAATAGTGACAAAGTCATAGCCACAAGAAGGACAAGGTTCCAACAAGAGTGCCAAGTGATCAAACAATCCGTATAAGTGGGCCAGTTACACAAGAGTCTTTAACATCTTAAAGGATACCAACACGACAATGCAAAGTGACAAGAGGTAACCAAGGTACCAAGATCAACTTTCAGATATACCAATAGTTAAAAGAGTGCAAGTACAAGTTTATACGCAAACCTCAGTTCTTTAGCACAAAAACAGTCCAACACAACTTCACGAGTTCAAATCGTAGACCAACTAGCGTATCAAAGTCTTCAACTCGTACACGAGGATATACAACCTTAAAAAATGAATTCAATAACTTATTTACTTTCTAGTAGCTCAATAATGATGGCGTAACACAGGGTTATCATCACAAGTAAGTCTAGCCTGTACAAATACGACTATACTCCAAAAACAACAATTCTACCCAATAAAAGCATTTCATGTCGCAACTTAGATTTGAAACAGAAAACGGCCAAAATGGAATTTATATCCTTCATAAAAGATGTAGGTACATCTCTTAAGCTTGCAAATAATCAAGAATCACCGCAAAATACACTTTGTACAAAAAGATATAATCAAAACACTAACAGTTAAACATATAGGATTTCAAATTCCAGAATATGGACAGAACATGTCATATGTTGCGACCCTTATTTCGCAGTCATAAAAGCTAAATTAGAGTTTACCATAAACAGAAGAGTTGTAGGTATAGGAATCAGCTTTCCAAATCATATTTATTCACCGAAAAAGGAGTTATACAGAACGAGAAATTCTAAAAGTACTAAACATGACTCAGATAAAAAAAAAAAAAGATTACTCACCAAAAGGTAGGATGTCTCGACTTCCAGCTAGAAGGACCAAGGTTTTCTCTTGTGATTTTGATGAACAACTGGTTAGAAAATGTTCTTAGGTTCTTGGACTTCAGTTCCAAACGAAAATCACAAGAGGAGGTGTGATAATATAGTCTTAAGAGTGATGCTTAGTCACATATACAACTGTCACTAAAAGGTGCTGCCCCAAATTATTGTGTGCTGCCCAAAATGTATACATATACACCTATATGTATATAATTGATACCAACACTTTCAATTCATATGAAATTTTAATTAGAAAAATTACGTAAATACCCCCATACAATACCTTAAATTATGAGCACAATTTATTTTAAGCAAGGTTGCAAATATCACAAAATTTCAAGTTCCCAAATTAAGTAGGCGTTTGGCCATGCGATACCATATCATGATATGGTATCGTGAGATGGAATCAGCGTTTGGACATGCGATTTTACGCTGATTTCATCTCGTGATTCCATATTATCCAAAAACCATGATATGGAATTATATGGTAATTCTATATCATGATTTGAGATATTTAATACAAAAATTGATCCACGAGTTTATATTTTGTTAAAACAACTCCACATTTATATCTACTAACCATTTATTTCATATGTAAATAAATTTATAATCACATCATTACTTTTTAAAATTTATTATTCTCACCGGCATAAAATTTATTATTCTCACCAACATATAGTCACTTTAACTCACACCAACCGATTGTTAAAGTGATGAAATATTTATGGTCTATAAGCATGAAAATATAGTTGCGGATGATATTGACCAACAAATGGCTCAAAGTAACAATGTTGGTTCGTCTTCTCGATCACATGATTGAGAAATGCAAGTTCAACGTGAGAAAATTATCCATACTATATGAGAGGATTATATTAAAGACTAGTACACTACAATTTATGTTCAGTTTTAAAAAAAAAATTAAAGTTAGATGAAACAATTACTTAAGTGGAGAACAAATAGCTTTGTAATAATTTATTATGCGATTTTATAAATTTTTGTTTATTTGATAAGATTGAATAAACAATTGAGGCTATTTTAATAGTTTTACAACTTATAAGATTTTTATGTTTGTGAGAAAATATACAACACAAAAATTTCATATCGCATGTCCAAATAAACCTTTAATTTCATCTCATGATTCCATATCATGATACCATATCGTATGGCCAAACGGGCCCTAAGAGTAAAACATATTGTAATAATTAAGAAATGATGCATCGACATGCAAGAGTTGGTCTAGTATTTTAGAGGTGTTACAGAATATCTGATCTTATTGGCCGAAACCATTCCCTTCCTTGGGGAGTTGCTTGAAGATGTTGAGCTTCCTGTCAAGTCAATTCTCAAGGAGATGGAATCGATGAGTGGTGAAAGCTTACGGCAATATCTCTGAGCTTAATTGTGAAAATCTATAGAAGCCTCTTCCTCAAGGGTGTGTAGCACAGGAATTTTGCCTTGTGACGCCTTGTTGTTTTGAAAGGTGTTCGTTTGTTAGCATTTTAATATTAATATTTTATTATATTAATTTGCACCTCTGTCCGTTTGGCAGAATCTATACTTACTATGTGAGGTGAGCATGTGGCATGCATTTTAGGAGTTACAATCCTCGCTCCTAATGTGACATTTCATCTACTGTCAGTTAGGCTTTATTGCCATTCTTCATTAGTGATTAATGTTGTAGATAACGTTGGGAAGTTATGGTCTTTGTGTAGCATCTTCCTTTTGTCCGTTGAGTCTTTGCACGTTGGTGGCCTTTAGTTGCCCACTTTACTTCACTCTTTATTCCCCATTATTCTTTGTAACATATGTAACTCCTAAGACCATTATCTTCACTATTTACTACACCATTATCTTCTTATTCATGGCTAGGAAGACTTCTTCTAGTATAAATAGTGGTGGTCTTCATTTGGTTTGAAAAATACAATACAACAAGAAAATATAGAGTGTATAAGGTTTGTCAAAAAGAGAGTTCTTATTAGTTGAAGGGAGGTGTTCTTTTTTGTGGAGCTTTGGACTCAACTCTTGTCCAGATTTGTTGAGTTATACTTTGTGAAGGCTGTTGTATCCTGGAGGGGACAAGTCAAGAGGACTACTGCTGGACCGGTGAAAACATTTGCTGCAGTGGGCTTGAATCTCCTTAAAGAGAGCGAGATATCCGCGCCTCAGCCTGAAGAGATTTATTTCTTCATTTTTTATTTTCAATTGTAATCTTGTATTTTTGTTATCTTGTAAGTTTTCACTAACAATTTTAAGGAGATTCATCATGGCTACAATTGAAAAAACCACGGATGTCAAGATGGGAGACCTTAACAAGCCATTTCGGTTCAATGGTAACCATTTTAAGACATGGAAGGAACTTACTCTAGTGCAAAGAAAATTTGGAAAGCGTTGCAGAGTAAGTATGATACCGAAGAGGCTGGAGCGAAAAAATATGCGGCTAGTAGATTTTTTCGTTTCCAAATGGTGGACAACAAATCAGTGGTAGACCAAGCTCAAGCCTTTATAATGATTGTTGGAGAGCTAAGGTCCGAGGAGGTAAAAATTGGAGATAACCTTATTGTTTGTGGCATAGTAGATAAACTTCCACCTTCTTGGAAGGAATTTCAAAAAACTATGCGCCACAAACAAAAGGAAACCTCTTTTGAAACCTTGATAATGAAAATTCGCATGGAAGAAGAGGTAAGGGGCCAAGATGCACTTTTACAAACAGAAGAGAACAACATCACAACGAAGGTAAATTTAATTACTTCAAATAATGCTACTCCTGAAACTCACAAAAATACTTCTTTGAAGCCTAAGAAGAAAAAATTCAAGAAAAATAATGGTAGACCTCCCAAGAAAAATAATGGTGAAAATAACCAAGCACAAAATCAACAAGTTCAAGACAAAGGACCGTGCTTTGTTTGTGGCAAGAGTGGGCATATTGCTCGATTTTGCAGATTTCGGAAACGTGGTCCTAACCCTCAGGCAAACGTTACCGAAGAACCTTTTGTGGCGGTGATTACCGACATAAACATGGTTGAGAATGTTGATGGATGGTGGGCTGATTCTGGTGCAAACCGTCATGTCTGTTATGACAAAGACTGGTTTAAGAAATATACTCATTTTGAGGAGCCCAAAACCATCATGCTTGGTGATGCTCACACTACTCAAGTGCTTGGAAAGGGAGATGTTGAATTGTGTTTTACTTCTGGAAGGGTATTAACTTTGAAAGATGTACTTTATACTCCTTCTATGAGGAAAAAATTGATGTCTAGTTTTCTTCTTAATAAAGCAGGCTTTAAACAGATTATTGAACCTGATCAATATATAATAGTGAAGAAGGGTATTTTTGTGGGAAAGGGGCATGCATGTGATGGGATGTTCAAATTGAATGTTGAAATAAATAAAACTTCTACTTCTGTTTACATGCTTTCTTCTACCAATTTTTGGCATGCTCGTTTGTGTCATATTAATGACCATTATGTTGGAATCATGAGTAGTTTAGGATTAATACCAATGATTAAAAAGAATTTTGAAAAGTGTGAGGCTTGTAGTAAAGCCAAGATCACTAAAAGGCCTCATTTTCAAGTTGAAAGAAAAACTGATTTGTTAGAATTAGTTCATACTGATATTTGTGAACTTGATGGAATTTTAACTCGTGGAGGTAATAGATATTTTATCACTTTCATAGATGATTTTTCTAAGTTTACATATGTTTACTTGATGAAAAATAAAAGTGATGCTTTTGAAAATTTCAAAACTTACCTCCATGAGGTTGAAAATCAGTTTGGAAGAAAAATAAAAAGAATTAGAAGTGATAGAGGCCGTGAATATGAGTCAAATGAGTTTAATTCTTTTGTTAGATCATTGGGAATAATTCATGAAACTACTCCTCCTTACTCTCCTTCATCTAATGGAGTAGCGGAAAGGAAAAATAGAACTTTGGTTGAATTGACTAATGTCATGCTTATTGAGTCATATGCACCTTTAAATTTTTGGAGTGAAGCTATTTTAACTGCTTGTTATGTGTTAAATCGTGTGCCTCATAAAAAGTCTAAATTGACACCTTTTGAATTGTGAAAAGGTTACAAGCCAAGTTTGGGATATCTAAGAGTTTGGGGTTGTCTAGCCTTTGTGAGGCTAATGGATCCCAAGATTACAAAGTTGGGTAAGAAAGTTACTACTTGTGCGTTCTTGGTTATGCTTCAAATAGTACAACCTATAGATTTTTTAATCTTGAAGATAATATTGTGATAGAATCGGGTGATGTTATTTTTCATGAGAATAAATTTCCTTTTGATTCTAAAAATAGTGAGGGTTAAAGGATTGAACAAAATATTTTGTCACTACCTAGTTCTTCTACTTCTACTTTGAAAAATAAAGACGTTGATGATTTTGAGTTAAGAAGAAGTAAAAGAGCTAGAGTAGAAAAAGATTTTGGTCATGATTTTTATGTGTTTAATGTTGGAGATGACCCTCTCACTTTGAAAGAAGCATTATCTTCACATGATTCTATATTTTGGAAAGAGGCTGTAAATGTTGAAATGGAATCACTAATTTCTAATAAAACTTGGAAACTAGTTGATTTACCACCGGGTTGTAAAACAATTGGTTGCAAATGTGTCTTAAGAAAAAAGTTGAAACCGGATGGTTCTATTGATAAATATAAGGCTAGACTAGTTGCAAAAGGTTTTAAACAACTAGAAGGCCTAAAATTTTTTGATACTTTTTCACCGGTAACAAGAATTACATCCATAAGACTTTTAATTGCTATGGCTGCAATTTTTGATTTGCAAATTCATCAAATGGATGTAAAAACTGCTTTTTTAAATGGAGACCTAAATGAGGAAATTTATATGGATCAACCCGAGTCTTTTGTTGAAGCAGGCCAAGAAAGCAAAGTATGTAAACTTACTAAATCCCTATATGGCTTGAAACAGGCACCTAAGCAATGGCATGAAAAATTTGATTCCTGCATGATTGAAAATGGTTTTAAAACAAATGAGTGTGATAAGTGCATATATCATAAGTCTTGAAATAATTCACATGTGATTATTTGCCTATATGTTGATGATTTATTGATCTTTAGCTCTAACATGAATGTTATTGATGAAGCTAAGAATATTCTTAGAAGTCATTTTGATATGAAAGATCTTGGTGAGGCAAATTTTATTCTTGGAATAAAAATAACAAGAACATGTAATGGAATTTTCCTTGACCAGTCAGATTATGTTGAGAAATTTTTGAAAAGATATAACTTTCTTGATTGCAAGCATAGTGCTACTCCTTTTGATTCAAGTGTTCACTTATTTCCTGTTGAAAGTGAAAATGATGTAATAAATCAAAAGGAATATGCTAGCATAATCGGAAGTTTGAGGTATGTGACTGATTGCACTAGGCCTGATATTGCATATGCAGTAGGAGTACTTGGTAGGTTTACAAGCAAGCCAGGTAATGAACATTGGCATGCTGTAACAAGAGTTATGAGATATTTAATTGGAACGAAAAATTGTGGTTTGTTCTATAAAAAATATCCTGCTGTACTTGAAGGCTTTTGTGATGCAGATTGGAACACTTTATTAGGTGATTCATGTTCTACCACTGGTTATGTCTTTACTTTAGGTGGTGGTGCTATTTGTTGGAGATCAAAAAAGCAAACTATAATTGCTAACTCTACCATGGAGGCTGAACTAATTGCTTTAGCTTCAGCTAGTGAGGAAGCGAATTGGTTAAGAGATTTATTATTTCAAACACCTTATTTTGAAAAACTAATTCCTTCTATTTTAATTCATTGTGATAGCACCGCTACGATTGGTAGAGTTCAAAATCGTTATTACAACGGTAAATCCAGACCTATGAGGAGGAAACACAGTAATGTAAGATCATATTTGACAAATGGTACCATTAATGTTGATTATGTCAAATCTTGTGATAATCTTGCAGATCCTCTTACTAAGGCCTTAACAAGAGAAAAAGTCTGGAGCACATCGAGGGGGATGGGATTGAAGCCTACAAATCCTTGAGTCATATATGAGGAAACCCAACCTGGGGACTAGAGATCCTATAACCAGGTTCAAAGGGAAAAACTAATCATATGATGACTTGTTGTGAAAAATACACTATCTTTTTATTTCCTCCCTATGATGTGAGTGCATTGTTTCCTGTAGTATGTGAAGGTTGAGTTGATAAAACTCTTAATGAATATCTGTAGCCCATATGGGTGGAGTGTTAAACTTACAGGAGCACTCTCGACAGATTTCACCTATGTGATGTGTGGAAGTAGGTCGCTTCCTATGAGAATTTGGCTTATTCTCGAAAGCACTCATGAAATCGGGATAGCACATGGCCATAACGTGTTGGCTTTAAAGCTCATGTCAACACCTTGATTATTATGTGTGAGCAATGATATTTTATTTCCCTTAAGCAGTCATAGTTCAAGTCTGAGACCACTACGACTCTGGAGTAAAAGTTATTGTTTCACTAAGTGGGGGTTCAATGCAGAGCACACCTTCATTATGCATAGTAGTCTTCCTTCAGCTGATAGACTCTCTAATATAATATTAAAATGAGTGGGGGATTGTTGGTTTGTTAGCATTTTAATATTAATATTTTATTATATTAATTTGCACCTCTGTCCGTTTGGCAGAATCTATACTTACTATGTGAGGTGAGCATGTGGCATGCATTTTAGGAGTTACAATCCTCGCTCCTAATGTGACATTTCATCTACTGTCAGTTAGGCTTTATTGCCATTCTTCATTAGTGATTAATGTTGTAGATAACGTTGGGAAGTTATGGTCTTTGTGTAGCATCTTCCTTTTGTCCGTTGAGTCTTTGCACGTTGGTGGCCTTTAGTTGCCCACTTTACTTCACTCTTTATTCCCCATTATTCTTTGTAACATATGTAACTCCTAAGACCATTATCTTCACTATTTACTACACCATTATCTTCTTATTCATGGCTAGGAAGACTTCTTCTAGTATAAATAGTGGTGGTCTTCATTTGGTTTGAAAAATACAATACAACAAGAAAATATAGAGTGTATAAGGTTTGTCAAAAAGAGAGTTCTTATTAGTTGAAGGGATGTGTTCTTTTTTGTGGAGCTTTGGACTCAACTCTTGTCCAGATTTGTTGAGTTATACTTTGTGAATGCTGTTGTATCCTGGAGGGGACAAGTCAAGAGGACTACTGCTGGACCGGTGAAAACATTTGCTGCAGTGGGCTTGAATCTCCTTAAAGAGAGCGAGATATCCGCGCCTCAGCCTGAAGAGACTTATTTCTTCATTTTTTATTTTCAATTGTAATCTTGTATTTTTGTTATCTTGTAAGTTTTCACTAACAAAAGGTAATGAGCACCTTGCAGCATTCTGCCGTTCCTAGCCCTCTATACGGAGATATCAGGGCACATATACAGCATTTGGCAGGACCGGACACTCATTGTGGGACGATACCATGTTTTCCCTACTTAAGAGTTGTGCACAGAGCTCGGAAATCTGAGAGTATTGGCGATAGTTTTGTAGCTGAGTATTTAAGGACCTTTGTAGCATAGAAAGAATAGCCTCTTGTTGAGATGTATATACATGGTGTGGCCTTACCTCTTTTTGTCCTGTAGATGGGAGGCAATTTTGTTGAAAAGGAAAGAGAAACGAGTATACTGCTATTGTCAACAGTTTAAAAGTATTTTTCTAAGCTCTCACAGTAGGAGAAGTCGTTATTGTTTTGCTACCCCAAAGTTGTCGCCTTTTATGTTTAAACCATAATTTGATGTTAAGTTAAATGAATGACTACAAATTCTCATTATATATTTACTGTTTTTGATGTTGCTAATGCTATCTCTAGTGTATTCACAATCTCTACGTTCTACCAAATTAATAATTCATAAATGAGAAGGGTGTTGTTACTAATTAACCTTTTTAATACACTCTGGATATGTTTATCCATCAGTAACAAAGATTAATAATGTAGGAATATTTGTGGAACGTTATAGTATTTGTACTTTTAAAAAGAATTGATTCAAGGGTAAAATAATTTTTTTAAAATTAATTCTATCTTTATTTGTAAATTGACAAGTAACATTGGGATGGAAGGCTTAACATTTTTTTAATTACATTTTTCATTCATTTTTACTTGTTCAATATTGTTTTGAAGAGCAATTAATAGAAGCATTCGTTTAATATAATAAACTCAATGTTTTAAAATTACTCAATTTGTCTAGATTTACTTGTTAAATTTTGACTTGCTATATTTATCAAAGGAAATAATATTCACTCTGCTCCAACTTATATGACTTATTTTTCTTTTTTGTCATTTAAAAAAAAATGACACATTTC